CAGGAAGAGAGTTTTCATGAATGAGAGCAGCTAGACACACAAATAGGGCAGCAATATGTTGAACACACTGTCTGCAAATGAGAGGATGTTTAATTCAGTCGTTCTCAAAGCAGCTACAGCTGCGTAATGAGAAGCGTTTCTTTTTTTCCTTGCTTTCGGTGAAAACATTCAGCTGATACTCTGAATGTAGCAACGTGTGAATAGATACCAGTTCATGGTCCCTCTGTATGGTTGGACGGTTGCGTCACAGAGAAAGCATATTTGTCTGCCACACGAATCATTCAGTTGAACATACTGTAAATTGTTCCTTTAAAGAATAAAGAAAAATCACAATGTGATGTCCCTTTCTTTCCTCTTCAGCACAGGCTGCTTCAAAAATGTTTTGGTGTCCGGAAATGCCAGCACTCTGAAGTATCATCAAAGATTGTGGAGATTCATCTTCCTCCAGCTGACATCATGAAGCCGATCCTCCTCCATCCGGCACCGCAGTCCAGTTTTGTCCGCCTCTGCATCTGTCTTGTGCATGCTGCGAGGACGGCAATTTGGATAACATTACCTTTTTCCATTTACCGGACCAAGGCAAAAGCCAAAGGAGCATGGGTTGTGTCACACACCTGTCACTTACATGTCTCTGAACGAACTTTATAGTAGTCCAAACTTCTCCAACTTTATGATTGTATGATTAGTAAATAAGGAATTTGTTGTAATAAATGAACAAACCACACCATTACCAAAGAACAAGAGCTGCTGTAGAGCTTCTCACTTCAGTCAGAGCTACTGAAACTCAGGAGAGTGGATAATATACAGTTTGCAGTTTTATTGGCTCTAAAGAGTGCGGGCCTGCTGGGACATTGGTGGAAGCTGTAACATAGAATTAAGTCACAACCTTGTATCAACAAATCTGCTAGCATTGATGTTGACAAATATATATAAATACACAATTTGCACATTGCATTTTTGTTACATAGAAACATACGTCTGTATCTAGCAGTGGTAATAGATTGTAAAGCTCCAGCATGGATAGAGAAAAGATAATTAACATTCAGCTATTAACTTATTGGGCAACGAAACCCCACCTAAATCCAAAGGGAGATGGTGTGTGTGTGTGTGTGTGTGTGTGTGTGTGGGATTTGCTTTGTCCTTCTATATCCTCAATGAGTCACAGGATTGAAACGTTGCTTTGAAGCCTCTGGAGTTTCCTCCCTCCACAAGGCAGGGCTGTATTTAAACACTTGCCACACTTCACGGATCTTTGCTAAATGCCTCGCTTCCCACATTTAGTGACACCAACACTGCTCAGCTTAAATAGCCTTTGAACCACGTGCCTTGAACAGGCTAGTTGGTGTTTTGCTGCTGGCTCAAACATGAACTTTGTATATCAAGTTTTGGGTAAGATTTTCAGATAGACAGACAGACAGACAGGCAGACAGACAGACAGACAGGCAGACAGACAGACAGACAGACAGACAGACAGGCAGACAGGCAGAAAGACAGACAGACAGACAGCTTTTGAAAAACAATCATTGGAACCAATAAAACATGACAATGTCCTTGATAAGCTAATTCGCGGACAAGTTAAACCTTGCAAAGAGGAATTTGAGTATGAGAAAGGGAACCTTTCATTTCCTGCTATGGATGGAATGCAATGTCTACTTTAGAAGAGCTTAAACAATAATTATCTCCCAACCCAGTGCATTTCAATGATCATCCGTAAAACTACTATGCTATATAATGACAGGATGGGGAGGTTGATGCTGCAGGACTTTTGGTTTGGTTCCCACAGGAATTGCAACCCGAAAAGCTAAAACTCCAGGGGACAGGTTTTGCAGTTGTTTCTGTTACCGTATTGAAATATGGTTGATGATTATTATATTACTAAGAGGCAGATCTGGCCTAAATACTGGACTGCCTGAGCGGCCTTTATCAATGTCCCGTTTGTGCCTGCGACTGAAATGTTTAATTTACTTTGGTGGATGTGTTCTCTCAGCTTGAGTCACAAGTCTGAAGACATTTTCTGAAGATTATTTCTTATCATACTATATCTAATCTTTAGACACAGGGATCCATACTCCATTATATATTAGGGGAAAACAGCAGTGCATGTGCCTAAAGACTAGATGTAGTACAGTATGATAAGAAAATGGCTATACAAACTACAAGGAGTAAAATTAAGTGTTTGGTTTGTGATCTCACAGCAAGTAAAATATCAAAGCTATGCACACATACTGTATGTGTGCATACACTATGTGTGCGTAGAAAACGTTTTTCCTCATTTCTCAAAAATCCTGACTTTGACTATTGATCAAAGTGTGATTTTTCATGTGATCCAAAAACGTTAGATACTTGCCCAAAGTAAGTCCATCCCAGATTTCCATATTTTAGACCAATCAGAACATAAGATGTTGTGGCATGTTTCCTTATCATACTAGCTATAGCCTTTGGGCAGAGTCTAGAGGAAGTGCTGGATGTCTGAATTTGGTGTACAATCATTACATTTGGAAAAGTATGTATCGCATCGTATTTGTTAATGCTTGGAATTTGACATTCTAGTGATACAAAGTACAGTCACTGCATTGTCTAAAGGTGTTATATCTTCTATTCATGGGAAATGGCTGAAAAAGCTCAATGTGTTGGATTTTTCATTGCTGTGGCAGCTCATGCAGCATGAATCTTATCTTTGTCTGCCCACACACAACCACGGGATGTTTTTATTAAAGAAGTCAGCAGGTCGTCACCCCATTTTCGAGGAAGTCACATTCTCTGCTGACATCACAGAGGAGGGTGCTGATGCAGTGGAAGGACACGTAGCACAATCTGTTATCATAAACATCAGACTATGATGCTCATCCAGAGCACATGACAGCTTATGCCACAGTCCAGCGGCCATGAGATGAAGACGACTGTGTGCAACGGTTCATCTCGGGTCACTCCGGCTGAGTTAGTCTGACACGTATGATTAATGTCTGGATTAAGAAAACCTCCACGACATGTATTTAATAATAATCAAAGAGCTTTATGCTAATTGTGTATATTGATTGCATTTGGTTACTTTAGTCAGGATCCTTGGTTTGAGGTTTAAACAATGTATTGCAATAACACTCATTTTAGGCCTCGCTGTCTTTTTGCTTCTTTACTCTTTGGTGCTGATTGACTGCAGACTTGTCTGTACATTTTGATTTATTAAGAAAATATAAATCCAAAAGGTTCTATTTTCAACAAGAAAAAAACCAGAAACAGACCATTACTGAGCGTAATTGGCCATGCACTGCATCATACATGGTGACTCATTCTCAACATAACTTATTTATTGGTCTGAAAGGAACGGAAGTACGTCGAAAAGCAAACACACATAAACCTTCTTACGTGCTTGTACACACTCTGGACACATTTATTTTACATTTAAGACTGTATTTGTCTAAATTGGCACTGGCAACGTAAGTTTGACTGCTGTGCATTGCTCATCTCTCCAGTCGATACTGTAGGCTACAGCATAGAATGAGCCAAGCTACAGTCATCCCAGCTCCCTCTATAGTACATCTGTTTGTGTCCACATAGTAGGAGGAGGAGTGCTGACATTTGATATGCAAAGGCCCTCTAACCCCCCAATGCCTCCCGGCGTGTGCACAAATCAAAGCATGTTTCTTCTTTTCTTTCTCAGGCAGAATGTGCCTACTATCACTTTTAGCGTCAATCTGACTCACTCCACTGCCTGCAGAGAACTGTATAGAAGCTAAGGTATACAGATACCCGTTGGCACTCCAGCTTAGACTCATTCCAAAGCTGAGCCTGTCCGCGTGCACAAGACTTTTCCGACTGTCAACGTGACATTACCGAGGAGCAGCAGCTTTGTGTGTGCGATACTGAAAACTGGCAGCGTTATAACATGACAGTGACACTAAGAACATCAAGTGAACTATTAGCTTTTTGAACTCCACAGGTTTTTTTTAATTCGCTTATCTATGCTTATCAGACGTGCAGAAAGTTCCCATGAGGCCAATAGAGCTGATGAGCTAACAAATGCTGACTCACAGAAGAGATCCTGACTTGACCTGAGTGTTTGCTTACAGTGATCATCACAGGAGCTGAATCTACACTGGACTGGGTAATAGTTCCCCTCACATAACCTCAGAGAAGCTGCCACTATTGCTCTCGCTTGCTTGGAAAGAGGCAGCAGTCTGTTATTAATTTGGTTCATCCCAATTGCATCCATCCGATGGAGATGCTGCACTCCTCTTCAGATGTTAGGACCAGGGGTAAAAATGCCCCCGGAGGCCAGAAAAGTTCACGTCATGAACAACATCTATTTATGTCTGACTGAAGCATCCATTTCAGGGGCCATTACTGTCAAAGTACGCACACACAGACCTAGAGGTGTTGTCATGAATAATTTCTGCTCTTTCTTGTAGGCTACTTCCTGTGCTGCTTCTGTCAGCGTGGGTCCGTTTATGCATGAGAGGCATTCATTATTGAACTCCGAAGAGCACAGATATTCTGAGCGAACATCCAGAGGGATGACTCAAACATCCATGTTCAACTTCCACCATTACATAAGCGCGGAGGGTGACTAGGTGTTCAACGGACAGCCGGATCAAATACTCGTGTGGAGAACAAAGCGCGTACAGCAGAAAAGCGGATCAGTAGTGTGTCATGACACGAGCTCCGACTTTCAGCAAGGAGAAACCGTGCCAGCTTTCATTTATTTCAGACTCTCCCAAACTTGGTCAGTGGTTGCTAGTTTCCATGGTTACAGTCAGTGAATGTGAAAGGATGTCTAAGAATGATCGTCACCTCAAAAGCTCTGATGCAATCACTGACATAGTACGACAGTCATTCCATTAGGCTGCCTGTCCTTCCACAGCCGCATGCCACTATTAGGCCGGCTGGGTGGTTCAGAAAGACGGCCTCTGTTGATCAGTGCCCTCGTTTGTATGCGAAGTAGCAAGCGCCCGTTTGTGTAAGACAAGGTCAGCCACATTGCACAGTCAAGTCCTCTTTGCCATCCTCCATTTATCACTCCGGAGGAAAAGTCAGCAGCGTGAACCTTGAGTATAAACAACTTCACTGTAAACATGTTCTCTATCAAGTATCTCTGTGTGCCCATTTCCTGTGGAAGTTTAAAGAGAAAATACTTGCTTTGACTTGGACCAGCCCACACATAAGAGTTGTTTGCTCTAAATCTCATCACACCGTACCATACATGAACTGCTTCTTACATATGAAACAAGGACATGGTTCATTTTCATGTTTGTTAAATTGCATCTATTTTGAGGGAACACTCGGAAAATGTAATAGCAGTAAACATCGAACATCTTTTAGCAGACGGAGCAAATTGTGCTTCTGAAAATAAATACGGGTACAAACAATCAATGAGAAGGACAAGTGCTCAGGAGTAGTTCTTATTTTAGAAAATGCTCTTTATTATTAAATAAATACTGCACCTTTTATTTTGCACACAATAAGTTATTTAGGACATGTTCTACCATGATGATAATGGCTCTTAAGGGATACGTAAAGAATCCCTGGTAGTTTTTTTTTCCTTCTTCTTTTTAAATGCAATTCTCTCCCTCTCATCATCCCACTGGTTCCCATCTCAATGTGCCATACCGGCCGTCATTAAAGAGAACAAATCACAGTTTTAAGAGTTAGTGTGAAGAGAGACACACACACACACACACACACACACACACACACACACACACACACAGGTTGGCTGTAACATACACTGTACATCATTTACAATATTCCACAGTCTAGCTCTGGTTACATTCAGAGCTTCAGTTTATGGTTTGCCTCTATAAAACAGCATCAGCTATACAATACATCTTTAAGCTGGTGCCAGCCCAGCATTCGTCTTTTCTCCCCAAACATCCCTCTTTCCCCCCCGAAACAGCTGGGGTTCACATTCATACCAACATAGTCCATCTTTCCTCTTCTCCAACAATCAACATACAAATCAGCCCTTTGCCATCCACCATCATTGTGCTACAATTCATTCCCCAGTCTCTGCGTGTTACCATTTTGTTCCCCCCCCCCCTGCACCTCTGCTGAGTCATGAAGGTGCAACAGTGTAGGAATGTTAATTAACTTTTCACAGGTCCATTCTCAAACTTGTCCTTCCCACACAACTCTGGTCCCGCTGCAGCACTGCAGTAGCACACTGCGTAGATTTCTCTTGTGTAACGCCGTCCAAAGCGCATTATCGTAGGTTTAGCTGCACCTCTGCAGAAGCATGTTGAGGGAGTACACCATGCGTTCGCGCAGGTCGGTGGGGCATCCTGACGTCAGCAGGGAGCTGAGTTTGAAGGTCTTGGAGACGCGGTCCTCGTTGATGTATGTCAGCATGTACTCATCCCTCTGGCAACACAGGATGATCTTGGTGTGGTCGTGGTAAAAGTTGATCTTTGTAGATAAAAAAAAAAAAAAAAAAGTTATATTAGTTTATTCTCTATCAATTTTGGGCAAAAGACCATTGCAAGTTAACTTTTTTCTGATGTGATTCGTGGTCTAACCCTACTCCTCTGTTGATCTGTGTTATGCACTGCACCTAAAACGTGTTGCTTTGAGCATGCCCAGCAACGGATCTGTTTCCTGTGTGTTTACCTGGAAAGTGCCGTCGTTAAAGAGCATCATGAGGGCGCGGTCGGACTTGAGCCACTGCAGCAGGTAGAGTCTGGGCAAGTGTGCATCCGTCATACTACCCAGGTCCCCGCCCTGAGAAAGCAAAAGAGTAATGCAGCAGGATTAGACAGGCTGCAACATGAAAGATACCATCTCTGATGCTTCAGGGGATGGAAAGACAAAGACACATAATAGCAAGAGAGATATACATTACGTAAAGAGGAGTGGGTGAATAGAGAGATTTACTTACATCCATGAGGTTCTCCTCCATGTAGTGGGAAAAGTACTTGAGCACAGTCACCTGGCCCACAAAGTGTTCAGGAACCTCGCAAGTAGGAAAGACAGAGCGCTGGCCCAACTCTGCATAGTAATGGATGGTCCTGAAGAGAAGGAGATAAACACAGAGTTACACAACCACTCAGATAAACACTACAGAAATGGAGCAAACATAGATGGATTTCCTTGACATTCAAAATCCATTGGTATTCTTGACTGAAAATATTCCTCTTGCTTGAAAACAGTTAAGGTGATTCATGTGATAACCTCACTAAGTACTACAGCATGCTGAAAAAAAGCCATGTCCATTATATGTAGTGACTAGTAACTGTCAAACTGAAGGTAGGGTGTGGTGAAAGCACAGAATGGGGCATACTTTCTGTCTGGCAGGAGGCTCATGTGAGTGCCGTTGTTGAAGAGAACGCCCACGGTGTAATCAGACAATTGGTAGCCAAAGCCGTACTTGTTGGAGTAGTCCACCCATTTAGTCACCCATTGAAGACTGCAGGTGTTTGAGCCCTGAGGAATGTCATCGGCTGCAAGGTGAGAACACAGAGGAGGATTTGATTACAATTAAAAAGGAAGATTTAAAGAACAGACAACCTTGAGCTTGGAGCAAATGTGGGTGTGTCAACAAAATCAGGGAGTGCATCTTTAAGAAATTAAACATGGAGCATGAATCTACATGTTCTTTGTGAGTCCTTTAATCGACATGTCTCTCTGTTTAGACAATTCAAGGTTAAGTGCAGGAAAAGAGCTTTAGTTGTATAGCGAAAGCTTTCAATGTGAAACTATCGGATCCACAATGTGTACAGGTTGAAAATCATGGCTTTGAAAATCATTTCAACAGGTCGACTCACCTTTAGGCATATTCTCCAGACATCCCCTCAACACGCTTGCAACGGTCTCAGCCACACTGCCTGTCGTGCTGTCTTCCAGGCCTTCAGGAGCAACAACAGGGCGTCACTTAGCTTTATGTTACATTACAAGAAATTATTTTGCATTCCAGTTGTTACATCAAATCTCTATTTTCTTGCGTGTGGTTTACAGTTGAAGGTTAAAATAAAAAGGGTATTGCATAACATCGATTCATGCCTGTGTGAGATCACTGGGCTGTGTGTGTGTGTGTGTGTGTGTGAGAAACCAGGCTGGTGAGCTTACATTCGCTGCTGCTGCTGCAACTCCCCAGGCTCCCCCTGACGATGAGACGGATGGTGTCTCGCGTCGTCGGGGACTGGCTCTCCGTTGCTGTGCCAACGGGGCTCTCGGCAGATGGCGGAAGTAGACTTCCATTCTGACGGTGAGAAAACGGTGACGAATCGGGTTAGAATCTCGGAGTTTGGATAATCTCTTCCCACTATGATTAAGCAGTCACCCACGCCACGGATGCAAAGCGGAGGGCTTTAAAAGGTTGAAAAATAAGTGCCTTTAGTTTGCTTTGAAATTGTGCTGTTGTGAAGTTTTAGTGCTGCATCAGAGTGACTCATTGGATTTTCCTCAACATGATATCTCATTCCCCCGCCAGTTTATTTAATGGCTGTATGAATAATGTGCCTGCAACACCACCTACACTCTTGTAAACATCCTCTTTTGTGTTGAATATTCATTCAATGTCTTACCTCAGAAATCTTTTTGCTCTGCTGTTGGCTGATGACAGTTCTCTCCAGGTCATGCTGCAGTTTGTAGATCTCCTCTTCCTCTTTGGTTAATTTATCTATCAAAGGCAATGACCCACACACACAGACACGACATCTTAACCAGCAGCTACATGAACTGACAGAGCAATAAAATGTGAATTGAGCTTGAAGTCGTCTTATGAATTAGATTTAATGCTGCCTCTTGTAGCAACCACAATTGTGCAAAATGAAACATAACTGGTGGCGTTTAAAGTGCTCAGAGGCTGATGTAATACTCACTCAGAGTCTCGTAGTATTTGACCTTGTCTCTCTTCCCCCCAAAGAGCGCAGCGGCAGCTTTCTTGAAGAAGCTTTTGGCGGGACTTGAGATGTGGAAATCTGGTGCTGAATGGCAACAGCTCGCCGGCAGACGCTCTGGACTGAAGCCCTGTGGGGAACGAAAGTGGGTCAGTGGTGGGAAGGCGGGGTCACTGTTATACTCCTACAGAGTGACATTTAGTGAGACAGACAGAGAGCAGAAACAGACAGACAGGTGAAAATAGGGTCTAACCTGTGTGAAGAAGTCGTGCCTCAGAATGTGGTCCAGGTTAGGTCGGTCCTCTGGGATCTTGGCTAGCAGGCTGGTGATTAGCTGCTTAGACTGTGGCGACAGGGAGGAGGGCAGGGAATACCGCGCCTCTCTAATACACCTGTACGTCTCCTTCAGGTTGGTGGTTTCAAATGGTGGTCTGCCCAACAGCATGGTGTACCTGGAGCAGGATGGAGGGCAAAAGTGAGCCGAGTTCCATCACTAAAGACAAGTGACTGTAGGCTAAACAGGAATGGACCACGGAATTTGATGCCAATGTGTATTTTTGAACTGATTATCTATTAGCAGACTGTCATTCAATAATAATTTAGATAGTTACTAAACCATTTAAGCATCTAATGATGAATTTACAGTTCTCCTACTCACATGACACAGCCTAGAGCCCAGATGTCTGATTCACAGCCGTGGCCCTGCTTGTTGAGCACCTCTGGCGACAGGTAGTTGGGAGTTCCACAGATCGTCTTCCTCCGGTTTCCCGCTGGCTCCAACTTCGCAGCCAGACCAAAGTCCCCGACCTTCAGCTCCATCGACTCACTCACAAAGAAGTTACCTGTGGGGAAGAAAGGGGCCGTGATGATGAGCAATTGATATTCACCCAAGGATCAAAGGCTAAATATTGCACAGATCCCTTGATAAACTGATTACAGAGAAAGAAGTGGGTTCGTATGAGAAAGAAAAAAAGAGATATCCTCCCCTGTACAGAATGCATCGTTACAATTGTGCACAAAGCGTCTCAGCACTGTAGCGTGTCACTGCTGTGTAAAGATTCCTTACCTAGTTTCAGGTCTCTGTGAAGGATCTCTTGTTCATGCAGGTACTTTAGTCCAGATACAATCTGTCTTAGATAATAGCGCACCTCTGGCTCAGTAAGCACTTTACGAGCCTTCAGGATGTGAGCCAACGACTGCAAAAAGACATAATGTAGAGAGGAAATGATTAAATGAAATTCCTCAAGTTTAATTATTCTAGAAACACCTCTGAAGAACACCTCAACAAAGTGAATTATCCTTAATGTAAAAAAACTGTAGGGAGATATGTAGATTTGCTGCACAATACAATTAAAACAGAAGTATTTTACAGTGGGGACAGACTGAGTGCTGCCTCATTGACTTTAGGTGCAATGCAGGTGTTATCCAAATTTAAAAGTACCGTGCGGACACTTAAGTATGTGACAAACAGCACTTACTTTTCTACTGCAGTATTCCAACAGGATATAGATGTTCTCCTTGTCCTCAAAATGGTGATAAAAGTGCACAATGTGCTTGTGGTGCAGCGCTCGGTGCAGCTCAATTTCTCGGTCAATCTAGCAGAGGAAGGCACAACATGGTCACGATTGCAACTAAAGGCAATTTTGTGATAATTTGCTGTCTAACCACAACAGTGCACACAGGCACCGGAGCCGTGCGCGCTTACCTTCTCTCGTTGGTGAGGTTTGGAGACGCGTGCATGCGGGATGATTTTGGCTGCGTAAACTTTGCTGGTGGAGAGGTCGGTCATCTCATAGCATTTTGCAAACCCTCCCTGGAAAGAGGAAAAACACTGTTAACATACTGCGTCTTCAGGTTACAAGGAAACCCCCCCCAAAAAAGCGACTACATATTATATGCTCGCGCTACCTTTCCCAAAACTTTTCCACGGCAGTAGCACTTCCCCGTGGCCGGGTCAGTGATTATCCTGGCCATCTCCGAGGGCGCACTGCGCTCATCCATTCTCTTTCGCCGAGGTTCGCTCGACTTCTGCGTCGCCTCACACATACTACTACTACTGCTGCTGCTGCTGCTGCTGCTGCTGCTGCTGCTGTTTGTCTGTTGGGGCCCGATATTTCTCTGTACTTCCATTAGAGGTGGTTTTTGTCGTCCCGCACTCAGAATGCAGCCCGGAGCCCGTCTCTGAGTTCTTATAGTCTGGCATCCACCCCACCCGGCTGTCTGCCGCCCTCTCTCTGACGTCACGGTGTGAAATGAGAGCATGAGGTCTTCCTTCTATCGATTACCGAGCATGTTCACGGGTGTTGATGATGGCACGGACAGGAAATCAAAAGGGGATGACAAAAACCAAAACAGCCTGTGGATTCTGCCATTTAAAAACGTGTAAAGATATAAATGATTATTTGCATCACCAGCCGCCATACACACAAAACAATAATGTTCTATAATTTACCTATTTTGTTTGAGGAATCCAGGCACGTGAATGGGCTTTTTACATTTTGGTGCAACATAGAATTCAAGGCGTTAGAAGTCCGACGCGTTTGGTCAATAAAATAGCCACCATGCAGAGGATAAACATGATCTGTATTCTATTCAGGCTCACCTCACCCTGTGGTTTTACACCAAAACTCACTTTGGAGCACTAGCACCCTCAGCTGGAGATGTTGGGTACTATTTAAGGTACAGTTCAGGTTACAAACTGTTCTGCCTCTCCTTTACCAAAGACTAAGTGAATACTGTATTGCAACTGACATGTGAGACGTCATCATGCAGTGGTATGAAGGGAAAGGTTGTAGAGGTGGAAGATTTGTGTTCTAGCTCGCAGCTGCAGGTATATTTGAATGACTTATGGACTATTAGAAAAATGACAGTGTCATTAGTGATATTGTAATACAGAGAACAGTTTCCTCCACTAAGGCTGCACAATCCCCCAAATTTATTTGCTTAACAAAACCAAATGTTTGGAACATTTTAGTCTGAATCGGTCCAAATGAAATCACAGGAATACATTGTTCATGAGAAAATATGGCAGAAATGCTGTATCTCGCTATGTTAATATGATTTTAATATGAATCAAAAAGAAATCTCTTGTTCATTGGCAAATGGCCTTACTTTCCAGCACATTTTACGAAATCTCTCATTTTACTGCTAACAGACAAACAGAGGGTTACACATATAACCATGGTTCTCAGACTAAACTGTCTTTTGTCAGGTGACGCATACTGTAATTATTCTAGACCGTGGCGTGCACAACATAAAAACGTGTTTGTGTCTAACAAAAGGTGGCTTTCTAGATAGAAGATAGATGGAATGATCTCAGCATGGCCTTGGGCTGGAAACATATTCCCTTCTTGAATAAACACAACATATGCATCTAAGTGCAACCCATCAAAAGCAAAGTGAGACAAAAACATTGACCTCATAATCCTTGTAGCCATTAACAAAGAGGTGCATTAGTGTTGATGAGGAGGTAACATTAATTATAGTGGAAGTGCTTATAGAAAGAGCTCTACAGTCATATTCTAGATAGCGGCGCATGATGGTGCAACAAGATTGTCAGTAAAATGCAAAGGCACAGTCTGTGCAAAGATTGAACAAATACTGCAGGGGATAAGTGATGTCAAAATCATCCTGACATCCTGCTAAGTGAGAGTCCATCTCATCCTTGCAATGTTCAAAGACATCTTTCAAAAGTATCCCTTCTGCTCAGTGATCGTAACGGGCATGTATCACCAATTGATTTCCCTAAAGTGTGTCTGATTACCTGCTAAAATGTGTGTTGTCTTTCTGTTTAGTGCTGTTGAGGATGACAGAGCTAGAAAATAACACAAAAAACTGTGACTTAATGGAGCACTGTTTTCGGGATGTTTCTCAGATGTGAGCGCACAGTGCTGATGTTGTAAGAAAAAGTCTGGTCAAGACCGGAGCCGAAGGACGACTTTTGTGGCCAGTCGGGGAAAGGAAAACGACTGGCGATGACATGGGCATCATCAGGAAGCTCTTTCAACAGCTTCTCACCCAGCACCTCCATCTGTAAACCAATCGCAAAAGATGAAATCAGTAACTTAGTGAACAAGTGATATGTATGCTACTTATATACAGTATATATATATACACAAATACATAAATAATTCTTCATCAGAGGAAAACTCACCACTCCTGGAGCAAGGAAAGCAGTCACATTGTTGTATGTAGATAAATCAGTCTACGAACGAAGATAGGGTCATTTACCTACTTTGAGAAGGCTTGAGGACCGCAATAATTGTTGTTCAGGTATTACCTTCCAGAAGTCTTTTTTAACAAACGTTGCCTGGCTGGAGGGCACTCCTGTCCAGAGGGCCTTGCTCTTGGCACAGGCCACTAAAATGGAGTTGATCTCAAACCCTGTGCACTGGAAACCAGCCGAAGAGGCCGCAAACACCTGGAAAATCAAATCTGGTGGTGTAATATAAACTACACACATGGCACACTCAGATTAAAAACACCTGGAATTCAAACCATGAAACACCTGGTTTCAGGGGTCAGATTTTCCCTTCAGTTATTGGCCACAAATTAATGTTTTTTTGTGAAACGATTGCAGCTCACTAACCACTCTTCCATCTCCTGACCCCAGATCTGCTAAGCGACCCGCTCGTCCCTCAAGCAGCTGCATAATGTTCAGTGTCTGGACTTTACTGGAGGGCAAATAAGGAACCTGGACCACAGTACAAACATATAGTGAGTCAATACAAGTCACAATATGAGTCTCTTTAATCTGATTTTTTTGACAGTCCCCCTATAAACAAGTTCTACTGAAAGGAAGAACTACAACTTCAAATAAAATGTAAAGTTATTCAGATCACAGTATAGTAATCACGACACTACAGCAACATGAATTATTGCTTTTTCATGTGAAAACATATCTCTGCATATGGTTCATATTACATTTACTTCTGTTAACAACTGTAAAGTCTTCTGAGTGTTTTGACTATGACATTGAATCTGATCTCCCACTCGCTGTCAGTGGAACAACATCTGTCTGAATGATGAATTCTGCAGGGCTGTCTCTCGTCTCCAGCTGTGATGAACAGGGTTTAATCTGTGATCATGTAAAATGTCCTTCTCGGACAGCATGTTTAACTGGCAGGATAAAAATAAAAGCATCATGTCATTAATTCAAAAAACACAGGTCAGATATATGTTAATTATAAACGCAAAAGCAATTACATGTTGATCATATGTTTCAGGTATTAGTATTAGCTTTAAAACGACTTCTTTTTACATTAAAAAGTCAGAACAAATTCAGATTCCCCATGCAACAACATGTCTTCAGCATCACCGACTTCTGATAATCTGCTCCTGGTGATCATGTTTTCCTGTTCATCTTGCACCGACAGTGAACAAAAGTAGTACATGATCCATTATGCTACAACAATGGACAAAATGCACTTTAGACTGACGTACTGTAGAAGATGGTGCAGTTCTCCATAAAACACAACGACTGTTAGCACGGAGCACTGTGCTCCAAAGAAAAAGCAAATTATTGTTAAAGTGCAAATTATGCTCTGTCTTGGCTTTCACACAAACCTGCAGCACTTGGTAATGGAAAGAGTGGCGAGAAGGCAAAGCATGCAGGTAAAAAATTAGAAGGTAAAAATTAGATAAGGGAAATCTCAAGCACCTTGAGGTTCCAAGGGATTTTGCGAAATCCAGGCACAGCAAACAGCCTCCATACTCCATACAGGCCTGTGAGCAGAGCAGCTGTGCAGGCAGTCAGGACAGGATGGGGTCTGTTGGTGGGACAGACCCTGCCATAGTCTTGAAGAATAACATCAATGGAGTCCTCCATTGCAAACTATCACCAATATGGTTAAAAAAAAAACACAGCACATAAGAGGAGAGATAACTGCAGCCTATATAAAAGGCTTCCTGTAAGGAATAATCTCTGAAGAAGATATTGGATGATTGAGGTCCAAGCCAATATTGATATGTGATGATTTTAAAAATTGGACAAAAATATATCGTCAGATATTTATTTTTTTTTTTTTGAACATAAAGACATTATATAAACATTTTTGACAGGGATTGTTCTTTTTTGTGATACTTTTGTTGTGCTCATTATTGTCTCTTTCTGTCAATTGAAAGAAACATGTAAACAAATAAAGTCATTTGGAATTCAGCACCTTTAATTAGTGGCCAACATACACACAGAAAACGACCGAACCAATTTATCGGTCGACCTCTAAAATGTTCTGAGGATACACAAGATGAAATGTTTTTGGTTGTTTATGTAAAGAAACTAGTCACGATCTAGATTTTCTACGGTCTATGCTTCCATGAAAAATGAATGATTGGAGTAGCCCGCATTAAGGTCTTCATAGAACCCAGTCAGCAGTTTAAATTCTATATGTGTATTTATTGCATGAAATAAATAGTTCTGTAAAAACTTTTGTCATCTGGATATTTCCAGCTGCTGAATTTCATTTGGAAATCTGTGACTTTTAAATAGTTTGGACCAATCTGGCTGGATGACCTTCAGTGTTCAGGAACTCAGCAGTCAGTGTAAGGTTGCAGAATGCAAACAATCATACAGTCTCCTGTTGTAAATAGATACACCTCACTTCAGTATCGGGAGGTCAGTAGGCTTATAAAGCAGCAGAAATTTGAGGTTCTGCCAATATAGCCTTTGATAATCATTACTACAGAGCAGCCTTTTAGAGCTGCCAAGATAAAACACATCACCAGAGCACCTTTTCCAACAGCAGATGGTGCCACAGCGGCCTTTTCTCACGTCGAAACATTCTAGAAAACTTTTGTTTACCCCACTAAGGTCATGGATTGAAACGACAGCCCTGCTCACTAAAGTACGCTTGTATTCTCGAAAAGAGGAGCTGAGCAGATCCACCACTGTAAATGATTTAAAAGAGGCTTTCAAAACACGCCAACAGATTTTTCACGATTTCTGATATTGGACGAAATAAAAAAAATATTCAAAAGCCAACGGACGATTGAATAACTGACCTACTTTACAAGCAACATACACGCATATAGCGGATATCTTTGGCACATTTGGAAAGTTATACCACACAATCTGGGGAAACAGACGTGTTTGTGCAGCCTACCTGACCCGCCCCCTCTCTGCTGCGCACTCAGCAGCCTGCACACGCATATCCTCCAGTTAAAGGGCAGTCAGTCCGCACGATGTCCCGCCCTGTGAGTTCATCCCCGCCCTATCAGCTGTCTGCTCACCCGCTGATTTAAAGCTCCTGACAGATAGGGCCTGGACTTGTATTCGAGTTGTAGTCCACGCTTATGTAATGTCTGTTGGGTCTGTCTGTGATGCTTCTTAGCGCACGGTGGACTGTTATGAGCAGTGTCGGCTCCAGGTCTAGAATTAGGAGGTGGTTACTTAATTAAAGGCTGAATAATTGCTGGTATGAGCCTGTTGGTCCTCACCTCATTATGTCGATGGAGCAGTTTTGCATTTGCCCCATTTCAAATTGATTATGCAGGGCTTGTAATAAAAGAGGGCCGACGTCATTACAATTGCAAAGATGTCCATTTGTTCCACTTCCGCCGCGGCCTCACCCTGCACTTGCTCCCATTGAAAAGGCCCACAATAATAATATTCATCCATTCATCTACCACTCAGGCCTCTCTTTATTTGCTCAGCCGCTTGGTCTCTGGACGGAGCTGGCTGCATGGGCGGGGGGTAGGGTGGGGGGAGGCAAGACAGACCACAGTGACGCAAAAGGAGAGGCCATCATATTTGCTTAAAAATATACTGCCCAGCTTCGAGTTTATAAAAGGCTACTGGAGGGGGTTTTATAACAGACACACAATGGACTTGTACGGGAAGGTAAGATGCATGATTTAATTGTAAAGCTATATGGAGAGAGAGAGAGAGAGAGAGAGAGAGAGAGAGAGAGAGAGAGAGAGCATCACACGATGTCTCACAGCAGTGAGATGCTGAACAAATGTTTCCAGTTGTATTGCAGTTTAATTGTAGTCTCTCTCTTGCAATGTGTGGCGCGTCTGTCGGCGACGTCTGATGCTTATTGCAGCACGAACTACAGAGCTTTTCCTGCGCTTCCACGGTAAATCGCACAGCTGCTGACATCTGTGCCGCGCTGCATGCTGGGAAATGCAGTCGAAACCCGACTTTCGACGCCCCTCTCGGACTCTGCGCTGATGCCGTGATAAAAAAAACTACAACCCCCCCCATCCCTCTCGGCCCTTTCTGCCAGGTGACGTCAGAGACACGCATGACGCGCACTTTCCTCTGCTCGTGCTCATCTCACGCGAGCCAGCTCAGGGGCGCGTGCCACAATATCCGAAGCGGAGGGGACAGCTCCCAGGTGCTGAAATTGGTCGGCGCTCCAGAGAGAAAGAGAGACACGGGGGGAAGAAAATCAACGGCTGCATTACACTCACAATCAAAAAACAACCGTGTTCTGCAAAACAGGGGCAGATACAGATAGAGCCGAGGCCTTCAAAACAGGTTTGTCCACACAATGTCTTTAACGCGTTTCATTTATTAATAGTTATGTAGAAGAATTTAATTAATTCATAAAATGACCTCGTGCCCAGAATAGCTCGTCTAGCATTAGCTGGCATGCAGCTCCCTGCTTTAACTGCATCGTGTAATTACATATCAGATGGCTGCTGTTATCGTGGTGTGTGCAGCATTGCACTGATTATTTCAAAGCGGTGTCCTTGCAAATACTGCCTCGGTGTTGGGTTTCTTTCTTCTTTTTTTTTTGGTGTTTTTTTTCATACGCGGAAGCGACCAGAAACCGCCGGTGCAGGATGTGCAGGATGGAGGTCCGGCATCTTTTATAACTAGATGGGCTACAAGGAGATCTCGTTTAGCACATGAGCGCTGTGGCTTTGTCAAAACATTCACCTTGGAGCAATGATGACTGTGCTCTTGACATGTTGCTCGTAGTACTCGTGTCCTCTCTGGTCGCTGACTGCTAACAGCTTGCAGCGGAAATACTCGGTATAGATGCGTTGTTAAGGTGGAAAATACATGTTTATTGCACAACAGTAGGTCACAACAGTTTTAATATGGAAGATTTACTGGCTGGTGAAATTTGAGTGTATTACTAGTAGGAAAGCTCTTAATAAGTCAAATCAAAACATCACACTCACATTTTAACTGGGATGTAAAATAATTGTTTGACATGTTTTGCTCCAATACAATATAGGTGTACTTTGCCAAGTAATTAAAAAATACTGCATCTGATTTGTATTCATGAGATCCTTAAGTGGTAACGGTAATAACATCATTATAATAATCCCTTAGTTACATTGACGGAATCATTTTGGCATTGGAGAATACAAAGTCAGCTCTTTAAAATCCTGGTTATCTAATACTCATCAATACAACAGCTTGCTGCGTTGGTCATGCTGGTTTGCCTGGCACAGCCTTCTGTCACCTCTGATCTGTGGCCTGAAGAGCAAGTGTGTACTACACTACTGTGTGCAACATCTAGAGTCATCTGGAAAACAAATCATTAGTTTCTTCTTAGTTGGGTTCACATTAGCTTCACAGTAACTCAAGGTGAAGCTCTTAATTTATTCTTCTCAGCGTCTCTCATGTTTGTTTGTTTGTTTTGCAGATGGCTGCCACTCAGGATGTCAAAGGGAAGGGAGAGGGAGGGGACCAAAACTTTGACTACATGTTCAAGCTGCTGATCATCGGCAACAGCAGCGTGGGCAAAACGTCTTTCCTGTTCCGCTACGCTGACGACGCCTTCACTTCGGCCTTCGTCAGCACAGTGGGCATTGACTTCAAAGTAAAGACGGTCTACAAGAATGACAAGAGGATCAAACTGCAGATCTGGGTATGACATATTAAGATATTAGCATTAAACATTTACCAAATGTTTGGTTCCGGACCAAACCAGATGAAACTGGAATATGGCCGTCAAAGATATGTTGTATTTGCTTATCTTGCACTCCTTGGCTGGTCAACACAGGATGATGACCTACTTATTTGCTGTTTACACTGGAAGGACCTGCTTTCTGTCTAATCTGTCTATTTAAAGGCGAATAGAATATGATTATGATCTAATGATGGTAATTTATAGAAGGCAGAAAAATGCATTTCTAGACTACAAACCAGCAGCATACAACAAGCTGTAACAGTGTTTTTCCTTTCATGTCACATGTCACGTTTCTTGGTTTCATGGTTGTCATGTCAACCATGCACACATTTCAATTAAATTCAGTTAAATCCAGAGCATTTGCATGTTACAGTAGGTGTGTGGAAGAAATCTGTTGACTGTTGTCCTCCAAGGTCTCCTGGAGGACTATCTAAGGGGAGCAGGGGCTCCCCGGAGCCGCCCTGCCCCCTCATTCCTCTCCGTCCTTGTGTTCATGCAGACTGACTCCTGTCATGTCTGTAAAAGGATGTCAGTCTGTGCCCAGAGCCCACTGTCTCCTGACCCCTGACCGTATCTTTCTACATAGATCAATATGTTTCAAGGTCTGTGACAGGTTGTGACTTGATGGCTGCTTGGTCCTACGGGATCACCTATGCATTAACTCAATTTAGTCACGTTTTTTGGACAGATCATGCTTGCTTGATATGCTTGGACGCACTTCCCTTTTCATCTCTTGATGTTTGCATTATGTTATATGTACTTCAGTCAAAGTACAGAATGTACATTTGAAGCTAATCTTATTTCTTTTACCATCTCGGGTTTCTAGGTATAGATAAACGATAACAAAGGACTTTGACATCATCTTAAGCAATCTTTTAAAAGATCAATATACACAAAATAGGACCATTTCCCTCATAAAGTGAGGTTTTTTGACCATCCTAAATAAGACATTTTTATAATGTTTGAATTTCAGCGTCTCAATTCACAACTTGAAAACTCATCCCTCTCTTTAATTCTTAGAAACACGTCAGCTGTGTTTTTTAATTAGTTGAAGGAAGCTTCAGGAGAGGCTACACTGTGTTTTCCTGTTTAACACCCCTCGGTGAAAGTATGGAGACAGATGGAAGTCTCAACATTACTGACAAGAGACTAGTAAGTGTTAGTTTGGCACACGGTGGGCAAGAACACAGAAGCAACACCTTCCTCAGAATGTGTGGGAAACTGAAGAATGTCTAAGGCTGTTTAATTAGTTGTTAATCTGAGCTGTTGTAGCAGATTATCTTGTAACTCCACTGAGATAGATAAAAGTTCCTCTCTTTCTCTCTATTTCTTTTTTCTTTTTTTTACCATTTTCTTCTGTGTGCTTCACCAAATGGCAACGTTCCTTCAGAGGGTTTAGTCTCTCTTGTCATAACTGCTGTCTTTTGTAGCAATTAGCCACCTCCAGGCATTTGGTTTTTGCTAAACACACAGACGGACAAAGAAGAAGCTCTCCAGCAGGATGTAAAAACTATAGATGTGAACAGTCAAATGACTACAAAATGAATTGGCTAATCGGGATGATGTGTTTTCATAATTAGCAAAGACAAGTATATTTAGAGATGAAAGACAATATTGCCCTTGCATCTAAATGAATTGGTCTGATTTTTAAGTTGGACTCAAAGAGAGATGACTTACAGTAAGTAGCCATTTAAGGTGATAGCTGTTGTCTGATGTCATTGTGGCAGTCACACCATGCATCTGCTGAGAGATAAAAGTATCAAAATGCATCCGAGTTGTCCCAGTTGTTTTACTTGGCTGAAGTGAATGAAGCACATCGGCGAGCATTGCCAAGATGGACCTCATAAAACACTTAAAACTCACTTTAGTGAATCAAAACGAGTTCAGGCGCGTGTCAGCCTGCGCTCACTGCCTCTCCACTTGAAGCAGTCAGCTTCTTGGATTGATTTATGGTGATCCGCAGACTAGAGGCAACGCTTTTCAAGGAGCTCCAATTCACGGGACTCAGCACTTTTTTTTTTTTCCTGTCCTGCTCTGTCTTTTTAACTGAGAACAAGCAAACCGGCTCACTGAAATAGCCTGGAAATGCAAAGGTCATTGCCAAGCACTCGGTAAAGAATCAATACGCTACTGAAATGTCCAAACCTCAGAACTCAGACAAGAAAAAAGAAAGAACGACTGAAGTAAAAACATTCAGATGACTTGTACATACTGTTTCAGGAATTGGTAATCACACAATGACAGTAGAAATCCCCAAGAACATATTTTTCTTTCTTTTTATGCTATTTTAACACACTAGCTCCTGACATTAAAGATGCACACATCCACATGCATTTTTTGGGTGTTATTGTAAACCCACAAAAGGTCCTAGCTGTGCTGTGTGTGGAAGCTCGGCCTGCTGTGAGCTCTGTCTCTGTGGAGTGAAGGTCAGCGCTGTCCTCTGGCTATAACAGGCACACTGTTGCAGCCATGTGCAGGCTGACAGAAAGCAACACCACTGTGGCAAATACCATCCAGTGCTGCCTGTCGAGCTTCTGTTTTAACAAAGAGCCAAGTGGAGCAGCCAGAAGTGCTCCATCATGATTCACAGAAGCCTGCAAAACACTGTGTTGTGGGTGGAACCACAGCACAGTAAACATACAGTAGAAACAGGAGGGACATCATTGGGCTTGAGTATTATATAATGTACCGTAAAAACAACAAATCGACACTTCTGTGAACAAACAAAAAATATTCCTGAGCTCACACGCCTCCTCTCTCCTCATGGACACACAGAAGAGCTTCATCTGTCTGCATTGGGAGCCATTAGCATTTTCATTGACATCTCGTTGCAAAGGCTGCAGTGGCCACATGTTTCCAGGGCAATCTGTGCACAATGTACTACTCCTCGAATGCTGTGTAATCACTCGCCTGCTTTGCCTTGGAGCAATTTTGTTCAGTCTTATCATGAACAGCAAGCACTTTCCCAATGTTGAAATCATTTTTATCTCTATTTTTAGCCCCTTTTTTCTAAGAAATGCATGCCATGAGCTGAGCTCTGAATACTGCACCACGGAGTGTGTAACACAGCTGAGGAGAGGAAAGAATCAATCACATCATCCTAAATGGACTTGCTGTTTTTTGGCATCTTATCAATGCAAAGCCAGTGAGGCAGTTAGCCTAATGATTATGTCCACATCACAAACACAACAAACATCGGCATACGTAAACGTAGATAGAAAATAGAAAAGTAGATCCTCTGTCATCTCTGCTCAGATTGTAGCCGAAGATTCATTTAGTATGCATAATTAGCTGCAGGAATAATAATGCACATGGCTTCACATTTACCATTATGGACTCGCATTTGTGCTGTGCAGCATCGTGTCAAAGTTGCTGAGCCTAATTATCAGTCAGCTGGCTAACGTCAATGCTCAATCATGCTTTCTGTGTGTAGGACACAGCCGGCCAGGAGCGCTACAGGACCATCACCACTGCCTACTACCGCGGGGCCATGGGCTTCATCCTAATGTACGACATCACCAACGAGGAGTCCTTCGGCGCTGTGCAGGACTGGTGAGTCGCCCCGAGCTCTTTGGAGTCAATGTTGGGTCGTTTTGGACAATGTTTTAATGCAGTTGTCATCTCTCGTCCGATCTCTTCCTGTGTGTTGTACTGAATATGTATGAGCCTCAGATCAACGGAGAAAAAAAGGGCTTCCTGTTTGTCTCCATAATGGAATCAGTCCTGCACACTCGATATTGTACATGATACCATCCCTTTCTCTACAGTATTGTCTCTCTCATGTTTGACAGTGTTGTTGTGTGGTGTGCATGTGTGCATTGTTATCAGGCTTGGAGATCTAGGGGAAACTTGTCAAGGTCATGGCTCTCGTCCATTCATGAGTCATAGAAGCGTCTGTAGGAGGAGCAGCTCTGAGCCGAGCCCAAATGTCACTGACTTATGATGATGCATTGGTGTCTAAAACAGGACTCGCAAGGCGACGTTCGAAATGGCTGCAGAATCCAGGTTTCTGGGTTAGGATTCTTGCTCTAGAAACAAACGCGTCCTCATCGGCACAACAGCGAGGACGCTTTTGTGAAACGCCAAGGAATTTCAGCTCTGCCAAGCAGATGTAAACATGTTTGATTTACATTCTGACGATGTTCCTTTGGGTATTTTTGCAGTTGACTCTGGGCCTGCATGCCACGTGGCTTGCACCCATTGTAGGACTATGACAATCACTATTAAGGTCAGTGTCTTCTTGGCCCTCGTCACTTAGCTAGCAGCACTTGACAGCTGCTTTAGGAAGCACTTGTCATGGTTAAAGCAGCTGCATTTAAAGTGCGCACATATTAAAGCCCGGTGCTCAACTGAGATGCTGCACTATTATTAGCATGACTTGTGTTGAAATAGATTTCCAGTCATTAAGAAGAAACAAGGCTTTCTTGTGAACAGAGGTCGGCGCCCGACACACCTATTATTCTGTTAAGGCCTGTCTGACACTTTGATGGAATACTGCAGTCTGAGCACTGTCTGTGATAGGTATATGGTAATGAATGGAGCCAAGTGTGTCAGTGGCAGCAACAATCCTGGAGAGTTTTACCTGTGAGCTGACGGACCAGACTGTGCACAAATCACTCCACTGTACACACAGGAAGAGGCTCGTTCTTTTACCCTTCATATAACCAGAATCCCCCCCCCCCCCTTTTTTTTGCCTTTGCCACAGGCTTAAATCCCACTTTCTCTTTCCCTTGTTCCTTGTGACAAGGTTGTAGGGAAAAAAAGAGGCTGCCATGGCAACAGTTCCTTCCCCGACGGTGGCTGAATTAAGCTTGTGACGTGCTCATTTCCTGCCCGTGACAGGGACAAAACAGGGAAATATTGTAACGCTGACATCAAATGGACTTGAAAGAAATCATGCAAATTAATTACACAAACCATTTGATTACAGCAACCATCTCAAAGGATGTGCGTGTACCTTCCAATTATCCTGTCTCTGTTCTCCAGAGGCTACGTTGTTCAAAATGCACCGGTAAACGTACAGACCTTTTATAGCCTGCACTCGCAGCTCTGTTTGACTGGATGCAAACACAAATGTTTATTCTGTCAGTGAATATTATCAGCAGTTGGCTTCAAAATGACCCACATCTGAACCGCTAACAAGTCCGAACTGGACAGAGAGAGAGGAGTGCCAACAACATGCTGCTCTCTGTCTCTCTGTCTCTCTGTCTCTCTCTCTCTCTCTCTCTCTCTCTCTCTCTCTCTCTCTCCAGCTTGTTGTTTCTTCCTCTCTTTCTTACTGGCTCTTTCTCTAGTGATTTCAGCCTGTAGTGTGTAAGCTGCCCTACTTTTAGTCAGACTGCAACACCACAGGAGATATTTGTTCCCGAAATGCCTCCTCAAAGTGCTTTGAGAACAAGCGCCTCTCTGATTCACAGTCAATTTTCTGAAATTGTCATTGTTATCGCGCCGGAACATCACAATCTGGGATGTAAATCATTTTCCTGGCTTTAAGGTGAAAGACACAGAGCTCAAATTCACATTTGCAAGCTGTGTGCATCTTCGGTATAGTTCGCCATTATTTAGTAACAAACCAGTTTTCCCCATATGCCATGTCAGAGACTATAACTTTTCCCCGTGTAGCTTTAATATCCAGCAGGCTGTGTGTGGCACGTACGATTAATAGCTTACCAATCAGAAGTTAGCAGGAGCCGAAGAACAAATCCAAAGGAAAGGATGTAAAGTATCACACATGTCAATGCCAGATAGCTAGAAAATACCAAGTGATAACCTACATCTGCGTAATAGTGCTTACACGTGTTCAGCACAGACCGGTAATTGACCCACTTTTGCATGGCTGCTAACAGTGACTCAAGTGTTTCATGATGCCAAACGCATGGTGATGTAATCGCTGTTCATGACTGGTCCAAACGGGGAATGAACTTTACATCATGTCCTTCGCTCTACAAACTTTCAGGATCCCGTCCAGTAAAAAGTGGCACAAAGACAATCCTGACAAGTTATTATAAAATTCAGCAACAGCATTTATTTGACTGTGATGCTTTGACAAAAAAAAACGTTTTTCTGATTATGCGCAGGTCAACTCAGATAAAAACCTACTCGTGGGATAATGCACAGGTGGTGCTGGCTGGAAATAAGTGTGATATGGAAGAAGAGAGAGTGGTCTCAGTGGACAACGGCAGACTGCTGGCAGAACAGCTGGGTAAGTCTTGGAGCAACATTCAACCCTTTATGTCTTTTGGCCTTTTTTTCACTTGCCAGTGCTTTTGTTACCTTTTAGGATATTATCCTACTGCTACATAGAAGCAGCTTTCATCAGCAACAATACCTCTCAAAGCTCGTCCTAAAAATGTAATACTTTACTAAATATTTATCATACGCTGGTTGTCTTGTCTCCTCCTGTTCTCATGTTGCTAACTCTCCCTCTTTCCAAGGTTTCGAATTCTTTGAGACCAGCGCCAAGGACAACGTCAACGTGAAGCAGACCTTTGAACGTCTCGTCGACCTCATTTGCGACAAGATGTCCGAGAGCTTGGACTCGGATCCGGCCGTCACCACAGGAGCTCCCACTGCCAAACTCACAGACAGCGCTCCGCCCCTCCAGCAGCCTGGATGCAACTGTTAGTGACTGATGTCAGGAAGCAAAAAGGGGGAGGGCAGCGCGGGTCCTGTAAGGTGGTAGAGTGTGCAGAGTTGTATTCTCCCTTATCACTCCTGCTAGTGCTGCTTTCTCTGGACTACAGTTCAAACCCTGTTTAGTGGTAGAATTACAAAATGCCGTCGTACTATCTCTCAACTTTATCACCTTATATCAAGAGCAAATAACCAGACAAACACACATGGCTATTGTAAACTGTTTGACATTACAGGATATCCAAAACGTAGAGACACCATATTCTCATTCCTCAGCTAGTTAGTATGGTCATAAACCAAGCCTGTTGGATAAGGCTGGAAATAGTCCATAGACATGATGTACAGTTAGTCCTTAAGACCTTTAAAAATCTTTAAGACCTAGAATAATTATAAAATGAGAGATAGAGTAAGTGAGTGCTTTGACTTTTATTTTTTGTACAGTATGAATTTTCCTTTTATAGGATTATTTTGTCTCCTAAAGCTGCCAAATCTATGATTTAGTGCACTAAAGGATGTAGCGGCTTTCATTCGTGTAGTGAGTGTGTGGCTGTTGTGTGACTGTACAGTAAGTGTGTGTGTGGGTTTGCACGAGTGTGAGTATTATGTGACAAATGAGTGAAACTCTGTCATCGAAAAAAGGTCGTCTACCTTGGATAAAAAAAAAAAGTGGCCTTTTAGCATCTCCAACACGGCCTCCGTACGTTCCCCTGTCTTGCTTTACTTTTGGAATGAATCCAGTATGTGTAATGTTGATGTGAGTACTATTCTACGTTTTGCTGTCTGTAGATGTGTGATTTCTCTGATAAGTATATCTGTAATTCTTAAAAGCAACTACTTCTATATGCTTAGCCTCTAAGTTGACCCTTTATAGTTTAATGCGATGAGCATGCTGCCAAAAAGTCAATCATATGTGCTGTTTTATCTAAAGATAGAACCTAAACATCCTCAACTCCACATGATAGCAACGATCCAGCATTTCATTCAATACACACACTGACATGGCACAGTACAGTGTGTGATATATAACAAGTGATCAGCTCTGGCATGGAATAAACAGCCATATAAAAAAAAAAAAAAAAAAAAAGTTTCATTCAGCATGCTAAAATTTCATGTTTGTGCTATAAAATAATTCCCTCCTGAAAGAAAAACATTATAGATAGTAGTGGTCTTAATGATAACTCAAGCCCATATGATATGAAAGTTGGAGCCCCTTTTAAAATCCAGAAAGCCTTTCAGTTCTGCAAAAACGTTTGTGCCAAAACAATACAATTCCTTTTGCATCGTGAGTTGTTTGTTGCATAGTTGAATAAAAAAAAAAATAAATATTGCATGAAGCCAGTCCTGACGTAGATTTATATAATAAGATAGTGTATATATATATCACTCTGTGTTACAGATTTAGAAGCATTGTCATAGCACTTGCTGTGAGATGCAATGGGCCAATAAGTGCAATATTTTGTGAATGAAACCCTGTACATAGTTTCTCCTGTCCTCGAGTACTATGACTCTATCTGCAGTATGTGAGAGACAGTTTGGTCAGAATGGCTGTGAAACTGATGTACAATCTCTGAAAAAAAGCGAGTGTGTGTGTGTGCGTGCGCGCGTGTGTGTACCTGCCATGTTGAACAGACAAATGACGTAATATAGTGTATTGTTTGCGTATACCTTTTGTACAAATGTATTCACGTACTATATGCTGTTCCTGCTAACTGTTGGGTGTTGATTGATCTCGTATTATCATGTCAAAATGCAGTGTTATTGTGAACGATAGTCAGGGAGGTTACTTAGTCCATGCCATACTGTTGTAAATCCAAGAAAAGGGATAGACCCTGCGCATACGTGTGTACACGTTCTTTGTGCGTGTGCACCCGTTGTATGTGTGTGATATTATGATTTTATGCTAGTAGCCATGAAATAAATTATTGTATTGATCTCCAGTCAAGATTCATTTGATAGAGGAATAGCTATGTGGCCGTGGCCTGACAGTCACTCTGGTCAAATGTCATTGTAGAACAGTATGACTTTACATATTACTGAATATATTTGTTTCTCAAGAGTGCAAGCAAAGTAAGAAGTATGTTTTTGAGATTATAGGAAATAAATCAAATTCTATCAGTGGGTCTCTGTGTTCTCTCTCTCTCTCTGCTGACTATAGAGAAGCATGGCGGAGGGATTGCCCTCTGAACCGCAGGTCCGCTCTGCTCTGCTGCTGTAATTCTTGCTTCATTTCTAGGCGACGCACACCACCTAGTGTTGGAGTGCTCCACTGCATTTATTTGACAGCTACTGACTCACAATGAATAGATGTACATTAATCTATCCAATAGCACATCGTTAAAAAATAGTTACATTTCACCTCAACAGCTTAATAAAAATGCCACTTACATGTTTATGTATCAGTAATAATACACTAATTAAGAAGTACTTGGGTATTTCAAAGCTACGTTTCCTTCCACTCCCCGAAAATTCCGAGATGAATATTGTATTTTTTACCTTTGCCTGAAAGTTAGTTCTTTGGAGATTTTGATTTTACATACAAAATATGTGATCATTCTATAAAATTACTAAACTAATCCAGTAATAGTAGCAGCTTCAGCTCATTAAGCTACAATAAGGAAATACTGCTTAAACAGTAATGCATTAACAATAACAATGACACAGTAATATATAAAACTGTGAAGGGCTGTTCTACTGCATGAACTTTTGATACTGTAAAAGATCAGAATACACACAAATGTACCAGCTTTATATACCGATGTGTATATAAACCTATACTATTGTGAAGCAAACAGGTCAAAGTGGGATTTATTGATCACTTCATAACTGGTAGCCTGCTCTCACAGTATCGCATAGAACAAAGTCCTCTATGTCTTCATTGCACTTTCTAGGATATCCACAGCTAGTGTCTGTTAAAACAACTCTAGTATATGGGTACAACAGCTTCAATAAACAATGCACTATATTGTACCAAATATAGCTTACTGTTACTTTCAATTCGTAGATCCTGAGAGGCCACTAGTAATGTGCCGGTTACAGAGATAAGAGATGAGTTGTAGTAAATCAAATCCTTGCACTCCATGACAGACACAATACAAAAGCATACAAAGAACTAGACTGAAAAGTGACACAACAGTCCCTCTAGTGGTAGCTCTTAATAAACTAACAAAAGGCGTTGTGACAATTAATGCCAACCGCAGCCTTTTCTTCCTCATCAGGGCTGCCGTGATAACCGCTCACTGAGATGAACAGCAGATACTCTCCTCAGTCAGAATGAAGGATGGAGCTGAAGTTAACGCTTATGTCCTTCAGTCACGGTGGCGTAAAGACTGATGCTATCACCCAGATAATCATCACCTTTTGTTATCTTACAAAAAGTGTTTTAATATGAATCTGTCAGATTATAGAAAGTGGATTAATGCTTTTTGAAAGTATATTTTTCTCAGTGACACATGTACGCTTCATCCCACACTTGTGTTTTACTGAAACAACGACAAGAAACCAGCAAGTAGGCAGAATCAACCCATGCTTTTATTTAATCCATTGCATATAAAAACTTTTTTTCATTCTTTTTATTTGTTTTTTTACATAAAGTTGTATGATCTACAGTGCTATCCAATAGACTGCAATTAACAAGGAATCCATTAAAATAACATTTGACTTGTCCTGTGAAACTTACAGACAAGTTGGCATTCTCAAGACATAACCCAAAAAAATAATTGTCCTGAAGACCTTTTTTTAAGTTACAGTTTGTGTTTACCTTTCATACCATAAAAAATAGAACACATAATGAGAAAAGAACCCACTGTTTCCATTGGTCCAGGGCTGTTTAGAATCTACAGTATGTGTGTCAAAATAAGAGTCCCTGTTTCTGGACAATGATGCCCTCACCCATAACCCCCCCCCCCCCTGCCCTTTACTACAGGGATGTATTAAACCCTTCTCCCGTCCAGGCAGAAAGACGTCAGTGGTTTTGGATATTGCAAGTAATGTGAGTGGAAGTGTTGGCCAAGCATAGATAAGCAACACACTGTCAGTGTTCCAGCCATAATTAATGCAGCAGTGGCTGAACATGCAGATGTGTCTGAAAGCCTCTGTGCTTCGTAGGCTGTGGTCCAGCGGCAACTACACACTTCCCGCTGCGCCCCATACAGTGTTTGTAGCTGTGATACACCCACGTGGATGCAGACGACACTGCAGTAACTTTGCGCAGACGCAAAAGTTGCTCCCGTGTTGCTTACATCCGATGGGGTTGTGTCACATCTGTGAGTGTAGTGGTGGCAGGGCGCAAGGAAGGTGCGAGTTGTTCAGACGGGGTCTACAGCAAATACGACTCTTGGACATCCGGCTATAGGCCACACGTCACTCATGTAATACATCTATGGCTTGTGGTTGACCTGAATCACTGCAAGCTTCTGCACTGACGATGTATTTTCTACCCAGAGCCACTTCTTCTTCTTCTTATTCTTTTTTTTTGATAGAGCAATTTGTGTTTGGCTGTGATAGTAAAAAGGCAACATGAGATCAGGCCAACCCAAGCCACGAGATTCACTACTAATGCAGCAAAAGAGAACTAGAAAATAAAACAGAAAGAAAAGGCTAAAGTAAATGACATGCGTTGAATTTAAGGCACAGCCCATGGGCCAAGGAACAGTTTCTTTTTAAAAAACAATTTGGCTTTCCCCCTCTCTTCACTGAGCTACTTCTCAGATCAGCAACATGTCGACGGATCATTTTTACACTGAAGCTTGTGTGTAATAAACATTCTCTCAACAAGAGGTACGTAATACAGCCACACCATCACCAAAAGGGATGATAAGAATCAACCATTTACAACAAACGGCATTATGATAGTAATAACATTAATAATTATATATTATATACAGCACAATAAATATATGTTTGTAAACAGCGATAAAACCAGAACATTTTATTACAGGTAAGGGCATTGGGTGAGGCTGGAAAAAAAAAGAAGAGAGAAATCTTGGCACAAAATGAAATAAAAAGTTTGGAAATGACACATAATCAAAACAAGCTCTTTAAAAAAAGCGATGTGCAGTATTTCAAGTGTTTTTTTTTTTTATACATTTGTTAATTTTTCTATATTTTATGTACACAGAGGAAAAAAAAAAGTATATTTGGGTATTGTAACTGCCAAGCCTGTACTGTGGTCTATGCTACAGTTAAATATTTACTGTACCACCTTTATATTGCAAAAAACGACTCAACAAATAGAAAAATATACCAATAAATAATAGCATCAGGTGTAAAGTGAAAAAAAAATGATAAACGTGGAAAAAGGAAAAGTGTCTTGGCTGAGGTGTGAGACAGCTCACTAAGTATTAATGACTGAGTGTTTTGGCGAGTTTAAACATATCAAACATATTGAAGCGGTGATATATGAATATATATATATATATATCAGTGCATTAGAGGAGCGTCTTATCTGATGACAACGGAGCTGATTGTCAGCAACTGGGTTGAATGTTGTGATGGCAAAATGAAGCATTATTTTGATGACAAATGAATTGACACCGCTCAGCAGAAAATGAAGTGGGTGGAAACAAGCAGGTATGCAGCTGTTGGTGATGTGCACATCAAACGAAATGGGCACCAAAAATAAAAAGGAAGGACAACAGAAATCTCTCATAATGTTGGTATAAAAATCACACCAGTGGTTTTTAACACCATTAATATTTCTGAATACTCTGAACACTAATCAAGCTTCTAAAAAGAAGGTGCTGTTTGTATCAACTACAAAGCATTGCATTGTCTCAGGATGTGTTCAATAGAACTGCAGGCAACAACAACAAAATGTGAAGGCTTCATCCACATCATAAACCGCTTCAATGAGAGTAAAGCATAAGGTTCCTGCACCCTTCTCAGTGAAAACTCAGTGAAAACTCTTACCCAAAGAATTGGTATTATGAATAAATTCCAAATTTCAACTCACAGGACGAACCAAATGTGTGTATATTAGCACGGGAATAGTAGTATAAATGCTATTGGAGCAAGTGCAAACACCTCAGAACACTCCTAATGTAATCCAGCCGTGAAGATATCCCTTCAAAACACTGAATATGTGTGACACACTTCTCCCCGCTGGTCTCCAAAAGTTCTCTCATCTTCTTTGCCAACACAGAAAAGGAAAAGCCTCAGATTGCAAAAGTAAATTCTAGAAAATATCTGAATCTTACATACAGTACGATACAAAAATGAAAGAGGTCTAGGACAGCGCCAGTGCTGTGTCGATTTGAGCTTTGTATCAGTCATGTTTTCAAGGAAGACTTTTACATCAGAAATGTGTCTCGTAAAGCTCCCCAGTGTGCTGCAGCTTTCATCTCTGCAGCGTCCGTCGGGTTTTCAGCGGAACGGCAGCATAAAATGCCTCCGAATTCGCAAGAGGGGAGGAAAGGACCTAACCGAGATGGAGATGCTCCTTGAACACGCCGATAACCGTCTCTGTAGAGTATGGGCACACATAAAACACAGAAACACTGCTAAACTTTCAGGCAAGGCTGAGACGAAGCGGAAAGGGAAGGAAAATGTGATATCATGTGTCGTGTGGACAGCACTGAGCAGACTGAACTGCTCGTCCGTATACTAAGCTTAAGCTTGTGAAAAGGAGGCGTAAAAAGGGAAATAAGGGCACACCACTTCAGTACAGACGGGAATGGAGAGGAGTTTTCCTGAGTGCAAAAAAACTTGAAGAAGTACCGGTGGGCGTGTCTGAACAAAGCTGACGGGAGGAGTGGCCAAGGTGGAGAGCAGCACACATACAGAGATGTATAAAAAACACAGACAGACTCCACAAAACCCCCAAACAAATTCTATAAATAATCATCTGTCATTACTAAGAAGAACAGTTAATCAGTTGCTGTCCATAAACTGCTATGTGTGGGGGGCTTCCTCTTTCTCCTCTCCCTCCTGCTGCTCTGCTACCTCTTCCTCCACAACACATGGTTGTGAACAGGATGTCTGCCCCTCTTCCGTTACCTCCTCCTCCTCCTCCTCATCATCCCCCACCTGTTCGTCCAAAGGAATCTCTGTTGATTCAGAGTCCTGCGTACAGAGCGTTTTAGAGTCAGTACAGCTGTTCTCCTCGTCTTCGTCTTCCTCCTCCTCGTCGTCCTCGTCATCCTCCTCCTCCTCCTCCTCTTCCTCCTCCTCCGGCTGGCTGCCGCTGTCTTTCTCCGTGTCCGACTCCCCGTCCTCCTCCAGGGTGAGCTCAAATTGGAACTTGTCCCCTGGGGGCCGAGAGCCGTCCTCGGGGTCGTCCAAGTGAGGAGAGGGGCTTTGGGGAATGGTGCTTTGGTACCACTCCCTGTTGTCTTCCAACGTGTCGAGGATGTCCTGGGCATCCGGGTGGACCAGGTCAGCCCAGGTCTCCCACAAAGGGTGAACGATATAGTCTATGAAGCCAACCTACAGGATACATTAGGGAAGAATAGGTCATTTAGTCTGTGTCTGTGCACAATATTGATGTGTATGCATGTGTGTGTGTGTGTGTTACCTGGCTCTTTTCTACCGAGGCGTTGTGTTTGTCACACATAGGGCTGATCTCCATGCCCCTCTCCCTCTCTCGGTCCCCCTGGCTGAAGAACTCCTCCATGATGCGGTCCGTCCACTGCCGATACAGCTGGAGAGGCTTGGTGGGGTTGCTCAGATCTGCACAGTGCACCATGTTCTGGAGAACCTGAATATAAAAAAAACAGAAAGGTATTAAAAAAAGGTGCCCACGCTGGCCACATGTTCCATGAGTTAGGGTAGGGCGAAGCCTAAGGGCTCGGTCCCAGCATCAATTACAACCGTTTCAGGCTGAAATCATCGGATTTTAATGAAATTGTTTAAGTAAATTTGTGTTGTGAGTTCAACTTTAATGTTCCTATGCACCTTTAAGAGAATGGAGAAAATCAGAGAGTCCAAAACGGGGGAAGCTACCATATCACTGTGTCACATGAGCCGGACTTTCTGGAGTGACAAGGACGCACTAATGACGTATTTTTCTACAGATGTGAAAAGTTTTCAGAAGCCTAAATGTTGCAGAATCTTCAAGGGGACCCGGCTATTCTTTGACTGTACATTAAAATCACCAAAACAAAGTGATACGGATCTTTCCGTTACTGGTTCGTCTGACCTGTATCCTGTCAGAGTAGTTGTCCAGCAGCAAGACACCCGAGCTGGTCACCTTCTTGGTTTCCACCATAGTCTTCAGATCAGCCAGTAGATTCATGTGCTTGGACATGTCGGTTGCTAGCACCTGGGAATACCCACAACCAACCGTTAGCATTCAATACAGAAATAAAGGGATTGTATAATGTAGTGCACGTAATGCATTCCACCTAATATTTCTTTTCACTTACAATGTCAATGACCATCTTTCGCAGTGATTGTCTTTGTTTTTTGGCCAAATTTTGGAAGATGTCACAGTTCTCCTCTTGCAGAAGCTTGAAACCAACTGCTAGATGGTGGTTCTCCAACACCGACGAGTCATTGTACATCAACGCTAGCTCGGAATCTGCACGGAGCACAACATCGACCATTTCAGCTTGAGGAATTGTGTTTTTTTCTGGTTTGAATTAATCATAAAAACATGACATTTACATGTTCACGCATCAATAAACGGGGTTATTTTGTAAGGAAATACAAATGCAACTAAGTACATCTTTTCAACAGAATGGAGCTACAAAGTTCACTCCTAATAGGCCTCTCCAAATGACATGTGTGCTGCGGTGGTGACACGTGTATCATCCATCCCTTGCTCCGCAAGCGGCAGAAGAAAGCACCAGCATGTTTTCCGCTGGGAGGTCTCCACACTCCGGGTCATTTGAAGGTCCTCTAGCTGTATTTAGATTTTCCATTAAGATGCATTAGTCTTGGCCACAGTGGAACAGAGCAGCAGAGGGGAGAAAGGGGATCCTGCTCTGTTGCTCTGTGGCTGACAGAAGATCAGTCTGGTGGCTCCTAACAAGGATGACTCACACTGCCTTTACTGCAGGGATTCCCCATTTGGGCTTATGGGAAGCACAACACATTTTGTGAGTTGAGTGTGTGCAGTGTATGTTCTGCTCTGGTGAGGTATTACTAATACCTTTATGCAACACAAACTTTTGTAAGGGGATTCTGAATGATTGCTTAAGGCAATACCCAGTGGATATAAAACTCTATTTGTTTGTGTTTTCCTCTAAATTGCCAAATCAAGGCCGTGAGCGAGTGAGTCAGTGCAAGCAGAGAGGTAGCAGAGGTTCAGCCTCTTGCTTGAGGACACTTCAGCTACCAGCCTCAACATCATGAACCCTGGAGGTCTGGTTGGAGGCTCAGTTCACCCACTTCCATCACTACCCTGCAGATAGCTTTGCTTTTATTTTTCCAGATTTTGAGATATCTTTTCTGCCTCCACTTTACAATGGAGGTGAATGGAATTTGTATTTGTGATGCTCACAGCAATAAAAATGAAACAAAACAGACAGATGACATCTCACAGTTTGCCACGAATATGTCGATAAGCCTGGATGAGATTAACAGATATACAGGCTGTTGTTAATCGACTGCAGAAACATCTCTTAAAACAATATATTCTTTTGACCAGCATGGCAAACCTGTCTGATGCAGCTGCACAGGATACGACAGTGCAGACTGGTCCGGGCAAATATGATATATTGCAATGTGTGTGGCATAACTATTATCCCACCTTGTTACCCTAACAGCAGCATTGATACTACATAAGATGTCAAACAAAGGTTCCCCTCTACTACAGCCAAGTCTTTGAGAGGCATGTGTGTTTCCTGAGAACATGTTAGCTTGAGTGATGATGTGCTACAAGGAAAGGCTACTGTACTTATCTCTTTGAACTCCTCTTCCTTGGAATCTCTTGTTAAAGCATCACACATGACTAAATTGTGGCACGTGTGCATGCGCATAATGTGCATATGTGTTCTGCTTCGAATATTTTGACCATCCATGTGCAGTAAAATGCATCCAAGTTTGGTTTATACGTGAAGTTTCTTTTATGACAGAAATGTTAATTGTCTAGTGTGAGAATGTGTGTGTGTGTGTGTGAAGCTACAGTGTGCATGTTACCACCTGGGTAACAGACTGTGCTTGCTTGTGAATACGCACTAATGACACTGCTGAGGCACTGACGTAGCTGCTAAGACAGCGCCATATTTAGACTCACTGGTGCTGATGAGGAACTGGTTGGAGACACCAGGATGATCCACGTCGTGAATTGCACTGGCAAAGATGGCAGCTAGGATCTCAAGGTCTGTGAACACAGCCTGGAAGAAAAGAACACAGAGGGGAGGAGGGAGGGCATTGATGAGAGAATCAAACGGTTGGACAAAAATATCCTTGCAAGTAAGAGCCATTGATTGGACTTTGACTGAAGCTGATTGTGGAGGCGTGGCCTGCGTGATGGTGCGTACATGTGTGTCTGTGCATGTGTTTCAAGTGTGTTCATTCGCGCCTCACCTCGAGGGCAGGGGTGGATAGCAGCACGTGAGTTGACTGGGTGACGTCAGCAGCATGAATGTTGTTATGGTAGGCCACATCGCCATGATAATGGTCTTCTAAGGTCATCAGGTATGTTATAAAGGTGTCAAGTGGAATTTTAAACGTTTTCAGCAAGTCTCTCTCCTACAAACCAAAAAACACAAGAGGAATGTTGTTGTCAAAACAGTTTCAGGATTCAACAGGCAATTCATTTTGTAGTGAAAGATTAAGAGAAAAAGAAAAAGAAAAGAGGTGACAGTCCTTACCTGGAATATAGTGTACATCATGACTGTCAGTGGCCGATTCCCAGAGAACTCTGAGATTTTAAAAACGTTACGGCCCCATTTATTCACATGCTCGAGCTCCTGAACAAAGGAATTAGATACACAATTACGAAAAAAAACAACTGATTTTTTTCCTTCCTTCTTTTCCTTCATTACCACCCCGAGTCACAGAACATTTCAGATAGTGTGCTCTCTATTCATGTGAATGCACGGTCTGCGTGCACACAGTTTGTCAGGACACACACACACCTTAGCTAGTTCATCCTCGGTCTCGGTCTTGACTCCGAAGCGAGCGATATTAGAGTTTGTGAGGCTGGAGGAGTGTTGCAGCTTTTTCACCCCAATGATCTGAGACATGGGCTTGTTCTTCTTCTCCTTCTCCTTCTGCGTCTGAGGGGATGGCATCTCCACTTCATGTTGCTTGTCTAGAGGAACCCAGTGACACACAAGTGGAAGGAGAACATGAGGATGATGAAGCCTTTTGTTGCGCACTTGGGTTAATGTTGTAGTGGTTCAACCAGAAAAAGAAACACTTTTCTTCCTGTAAATAGTGGCTGAATTAGATTTGATGGTACAACTAAATCCAGGTTGAAGTAGAAAAAAACGGATTAATCGCTCTGGGGTTTCAGAAAATTCTGTACACTGCATGTGTTTGGCCATATTCAGTACAAAACATGACTTCAAGAACTCACTCTGAAGTTTGGCAAAATATACATTTTTACTTCTCGGGCAGAGGGAGATTTTTTTTTTTATTCCAAACCAGTGGGTCTATCCTGTGTCATCACTCACCCAGGAAGGTGCTGGAGATGAACTCAGACACCTGGTTCCCAGAGCGGCTCATCTCTGATAGGTGAGTCAGCTCCCTGTTCAACATCCTCTTGAACTAAAAGAGGCACACACACACACACACACACACACACACACACACACACACACACACGCAGAGATTAGGGGTTTCACAGTGTGTAATACAGGGCAGAAAAATCGAATTTTCTTATTTTTCTTACAGCTGACACTCGGGTATCACACACATATTTGAATAAATATTACATAAAATAAACGTTCCTCATTTCTCTAAATGTGTTTGAGGCTAAAGTACGGAGCCAGTACTACAGAACCTTTTATTTGATCAAAAATACATTTTCATGATGGCAGTGAAGAATCAAACGATTTCATCAACACAGACTCCTCTGCTGGCTTCTTGAAATTTCTAGTCACATCTCAAGAGCTGTACCAGGAACGTCACCATTTCTGGTTAAACACGTGCGCACAAACACACAAAGCAGGTCAGAGTGCTACTGCCAGGTAAGTACACAATCAGTAACCCGATTTCCCACAATTTCTTTCAATTTCAGTTTCCCCCTGCCGCACTGCCTGCTCCTCCCTGCCTCTCCCTCTCCCTCACCCTATTCTCTCTTCTGTCTCCTCTGCCTACTGTAATTCGAGTGGCAGACCCAAATTTAGCTGCAGGTTTTGATTTGAAGATCAAACTGATTGACGTGGAGGAGGATGCTTGAAATCAGGGGCTTTCTAAAGTGGCTGCCGAACAACAGCTACAAAGCGGATTGCAAAACAAAAACCTCTGGCACAAAAGTCGCTGCTTTGTCTCGATTCATTCCGGCTTCAGTCCAAATGCCTAATTTATGTATATTGATTAAGTATACATCAATATTGATCACTTAAAATAGACCATTACGAAACTGCAGAGTGCTTTCTGCGCAATTGTGTATCGACATCCTATTGAGTAACACCCACGGGCATTCATTGGGTGGCTTTTTAAAATGGAGACACAAGAGGCAGAGAGCCATCTGTGGTGTGCTTTTGTCAGATAGTAAGAGCCTGTAGAAGAGAAAAGCGACAAATACATGACATGTAGAGCTGTATTAACAAGACACATACGTTATGTATTATTATAACAAATAAGAGCTCACTGAAAAAAGATAGATTTTTGCTTTTTTAATTAAAATAATGTGGCTAACCTAACAAATATCCCCCAGAACATCAATAAAATGTGGAGCATCTCAACTACCGAGAGGATTGCTGACCTAAATAAGTCTCCACAGAGCTCCAAGAGTTGCTGATTTATTCCAGTTAAGAGCTTAAAATAACCGAAATGACCGACGAGAATTTAACAATTTACAGGTGAAAATGTCTGCCGTTTTAAAATCAAATTCACTTCAAAATGTAACTACGTATGTTCATCTTTGCCGCACCTCCAGCCATGTCTTACACCTTTCAAAGTACAGTGCCAGCGTTATCAGCTCTTTCCATCACAGATGTATCAAAAAAACAACAATCACATTTAAATAGGTGTAAAAAAAAATAATTAATTTAAACAGACTAATCTGAGACCACATCTTACCTTTATATATCCCCAGGACACAGAGAGTAGATAATTAGCTTCAGGCATTTTGACAAAGGAACACAAGATATCCAGAAACAGAAAGGTACAGCTTTACAGCCCAAAACACAGTTCGGATGATGAAAGCGCTAGACTGCTAGCAAAACAAAAAACGTCCGCAGCTCTGGCCAGTAAAAGACTTCAACCTGAAGAGCCTTTGAAACTCGGTTCAATGTCCATAAAGGAAGCATCACGTTCTGGTCCTGCCAATATCCACGGAGAGGAGCCCACGATGCAGGAAGCAGAGAGGAAAAGCAGATTCTGAGAGAGGAGCAGCGGGAACGTGGCTCCCCAAAGATCCGTTGAGACCACACACTGTGACACACATGACATGTGCACACACACACACACACACACACACGCACACACACACACACACACACACACACACACTCAAACACATACGCTCAGATACAGGGACGCACTGCTGAGGTTGTGAATAATTGATGGTGGTGCGGATGCTTGGTAGATGCCAAAGCACCAGGACAGCACAAAAAAAAAGAAATCTGTCAACAGCTTCCAAACAGGCCTGATTGCCTGCCCGGCCGCCTCTGTGTGTATGACACAAGCTCCCATGTGAAGAGCAAAAGCTGCTTCTCTTGCTGTGTCACACAACAGCAGCAAATCAGGGCCCAGATATGGAAGAAGTGTGAGCTCATCATCACCTGTGATTGGCTTGGATTGGAACAGACTTGAGGTCACCTGCTGTGTGATTGGCTGGGACTGAAGTCAGTGGAAAATCTACCTCTTCCTTTTTCCTTCCATTCCTGCAGTGAGGCGGGATGTGGTGATGCGTGTGCGTACGTGCGTGTGTGTGTACATACAGTACATGTTCGTTTGTGTGTATGCAAGGCATATTTACATTACATGCACTAGTACATGCGTGTGTGGGTCTGCGTGTTAACTGACCTAACCTTCTGTTCAGTATGATGTACGAGCACAGGTTACCTCATCTAACAAAAGACAAACTGAGGTCTGCTCTCACGCCAGTATTCATGGGAGATGAGTCACAGTAACATCACTATTGAGATGATGTATCACATGAAAACCAATTAATCTTGCAAAAAGAATGAGCGTCACAGTTATCTGAAGTGGGCTCAGTAGAACAGAAACTGAAAGCACAGAGTCCACATAGGCTGCTGCGTGTGTCACTGAGCTCAAGAGGTTGTCGCTTTGGTTGGAAACAATTCGCCATGTAGTTCTATACAAAGCAGATTCAATTGAATTCAATTGAATTCAATATGCTTTACTGGCACGAGTGTAACAAAGACAATATTGCCAACGCATTGAGTAATAATGCGACTGTGGCTTCATCATTATGAACGACCCCTTTCACATTGTCACGTTGCTTTCACATGAGATTAGGGCCCCACAATTAAGGCCAAAATGATAATCATGACTATTTGTTTTTTTTAATCAAAATTGAGATCACGATGAGATCGAGATTGACACGAGCACTTCTTTAAGTTCCATGTTGTGTGCAAATCTATGCATCGAAATAAGACTGGTCCTTATTCACAGCCCATCTCTTAGGAGCAAAATAAAGCTGCACCAAAACTAAAACTGTGCATCAAAACATGACTAAAATGAAGGTTCTTCCTCCCCTTAATTTAGAGTGATATACATTAGTCGTCTACTTTGGACTGCTGGACAACATTCAGGAACGTTTTTCACAGAGTGCCTCTGAAGGGAAAGCATGCAGTGGCATGACGGCTTATCAAAGGTGAAGCCATGTGCCCGGTGGCTGGCTGTCAGTTTAGGAAGTGCTTGATTTGATATGCAGCGTAGTTTTCTATTTATGGAGCACACATTATAAACATCAATATCGCAGTCAATCATGTTCATTTAATTGTCGGAAAATCAAGATTAATATCAGCCCAGCCCTACATTAGATATGTTGTTACTATACAATATATTGATTATGGACGCAGTAATAATTATGGGGCAGCATGACATTAAATGAAACAGAATAAAGTACAGGTAACAGCTTAATCTTAAATCAGGAATCTACAGTCATTTGTGAGAAGAGGTTTTTTTCTTGGCGTGTGTGAGCACATACGTGCACATGCATGTGTCATGTGTCTGTGATGGTCCGGTGGCTACATGGATTGAAAAGGGACCAAACCTGTCTCTGCCTACTTTACACCTCTATAGCCAGCCTGGCACTGTGAGTAATTTACAGCTACGCTGGAGCAGATGAGACAACTGGCTGACTGAGATCCAGCAGCTTTGATTGACTCTGAGCCAAGCAGGCCAGCACAGGCCCACCCCACACACACACACACACACACACACACACACACACACACACACACACGCACACACACGTAGTGTACTCGCCGTAGAAGCCCAGAGTTTAAACAAATACAACGCCCACAGACAAACTCCCTCCTCTGTCACACAAATACACACACATATTGATATATTGATAGCTTAGCCAAGAGGTGTGAACACAAACTATTGGGTTGAAATTGGAAAGTGTCACACCAAGGTTAGCTGTGACTTGTGTGTAATTTGCTCTTCGGCAGAGTGACCAGAAATATCCACTCCCTGCTGTATATAGCCTATGACACCTCCAGATCTATGTTGCACTCGTTTCTTTTCTCACATTACAGATTTATTCTGGTGGCAGTAAAGTCAAAACTAAAAAGCATCATCAAAACCTGAGCACAAATAAAGATCTGCAAACCCTGAATACAACTATTAAGAGCTTTTGCTGCAAAATAACTCAACCTGTCTGATGGCGTCAGAGCAGCACAGTCACATGAAATGGACAGCGGTTTCACAGAAGTATTCGTGTACGTCAATCTACACTGATCATGAGCTGCGCACATCTTTTTCCAACCTAAAGAAGCAGATTACCCGATTGGGATCTCCACAGGTGCGGGCTGTGTGTGCATGAGCAAATATCCCAACATTGTGTATAGCCGGCAAAACACCTCGCAAAGGCAGCTGTATTGAGCCTGAACAACTCAAAGAAAAGGAAATGAACAAGTATTGATGGAGGGTGTCCTGGATGACTCACCTGTGGACACAGCACACATCAGAGGCTGGACTGGACAAAATATATATGGTGTCGCCTCAAGATGGGGAGTATGTCATTGAGGTGTTGACCAAATGAAACAGAATCCAATATTCATTAAGATGGCTCTGTGTTGTGGGGGATGTATAGAATTTGCACCAACGCACTTTGGCCAGGTTTAGCCAGGTTGTACTGTATGTGTGGCGGCCGGATGCAGGATCTAGGCATGTGTTGTTTTTAGTGATTGCATATGTCACTTTGAACAGCTAGACATTTACCTCACCAAGGCTGCAACACGGGATGGCAATATTGAAAAGATATTCAAAGATTAAAGTATATTTGCGGTGTGTTGTATCTGAAAATGGACCATGTTTCACAAGTACCCCCCCCTGACGAAGTGATGGGATCCACGGTACATTTAACCTGTTACTGCCTGAGCCATGGTTCAACAGAGGCTGCCAACACTCTGGATCATAACACAACCAAGACGTTGTGGGACGTTTTGCTCCAGGAGATCTTCTCCACACTAGAAACTACTCTTTGTGCATCTTAGTGGGTTTGAGCTGTTAATCAAGAGTATCTTCCTTGTCCTACATTGTTACCTCTGGAAATGAGCAGACAATGAAGAGGCGCAGAACCAGAGGAAGACCAGGTGCTGATTCTAGAGACGCCTCTACGCCCACACAAAGGGTGGAACTGTATCCACAGGAGCATCCTACACTAGAGCCACCAGATAAACCACCAGCGCAATACCCGCCTCAATACAGATACGGTTGTCTCAAAGGCTATGTCAGATAGAACAAATTGTGCTACATTTCTATTGAATCGTGTATAATGCTGTGTATTTGTATGTATTTCAGCTGCTGTATGAATGCTGTAACAGCAATAATAACATTGAACATGTCTTCTCTCTGCTGTGAGATCGTTTGGGTCAAACAGGTGTGCCACCTTGTTTGACCTACTGTTATAGCAGCCCTGGGGCTTAACGGAGTAACTCTGAGAGTGCTGATGTTCAGAGGTGACATGCATTATTTCCCTAGGTTATGTCAGAATCTGATTGGGGTCTTTACTTAGGGATGTCCAAAGCAGAAGGAACTGTACTGCTTCCACAAAACAACAGCAGCTGTACAACGTGGCTGCTACAGCACACATATGGATGGTGATCTACGCAAGAATGTCACTGGGAGTCACCTTCAGATCCAGTGAGGTGCAGATTTAGCTGCAGTTTCCTTCCTTTTACATCAAGGGAATTACATTCTGTTTAATCTCAGAGTCTCCGTCATTGATGAATTAAGGTTTAAGTCGAGTGTTGATCAATGAGAGTCTACAGACACGAGTAAGAGCTCTGTGTGGGAGGTGTGGGGTCTGTAGTACCTTTGATGTGTGTGTGTGTGTGTGTACGTGTTGGTGGAGTGAGACATCAGGCTGGTTGGGCCTGTGGCTGTTGCCATGACAACTAGAGATAGTTGTCCTGGTAAGTAATAGTGAGGCGGTGCATGTTACGGGGTTTTTTTTTTTCTTCCTTCCTTTAACCTTCTCACTTTCACGCGAGGTAGATGTGCCGCTCATGCACGTGACCGTGGACACATCAGCGTTGGATGTGTGCGTTCGAGCAGTTCCTTTGTCTGTCCGTCCTGCCTGCCTCTCGTCGTGGTCCATGCCCCCTTGTGTGACATCACAGTGTGTGACATCACTAGAGCTGCTCAGCATTCAGAGTGGCACAGCAGCCTCCCTCCACACACACACACACACACACACACACACACACACACACACACTAGAGGCGACTGAGCATGTTCACAACACAACTCCCTGCCTGCATTATGATGCTGTCACTATCACACAGAGATAATATGACAGAAACAGTCCAACGTGAGCTTTGATGGCTGGGTTGCTGCAAAAGGCATCACAACACATAATATCTACAGCCACGTAATGATTGCAGAAGAAGTGAGCTCCTCAAGCTCAAACAGAAACTGCTAAGTGTTGATACACTCTTGACAACAGAACAAGGAGAAGGGCTTGATGGCAAAGGAGCAGGTCGCACACAGAGGAGGTAATGTCTATTACATATTAAACTACACCTGTTCAAAAGAATCAAATCAACAACGCACAACGTATTGGATCCATCTCCAGGTGAAGTTACGCTGCACATCAGCTTGGCCTGTCAGTGAACAATAAACACCGCTTCACTGCCGCTGAGTGACCATACAGTATATAGCACATCGGCAGATTTGTAGAAATATTCATTTGTAATTGTATCTTTCTTCATTGATGTGTGGAAATGCCGCTGTAGGTGTGGATGGATTACAAAGTCTGTTTTCACGAGCACCTCCCTTGTCTGAAGTTAACCTGTGAGGACCAATGCAAGTGTCCGCGTCAGTTCATCACACCCACAAATAAATTCTGTTACCTGTAACAAACACTCGATGTATAATATATAGTATATAATAGTATAACCTTATACAGATTAGTATGTATACTATACATCACATATACCACTATCTATTAATTCTGTTCTCATCAGCCACGTACAAAAAGACACCACAGTGAATCCTGGGTAGCAGCTTCTGAACATGTTTAAATAAATAACAAAAACAAAAAGATATATCAGACGCAATCATGTTGGCCTCCAGAATTAAACTTGAAAAGTTGGAGGACACTTTTTTGTTAATCTTACCTTGTTGGAGGCCATCTCGCTGACAGAGTGTCTCGTCTGCAGCGTCTCCAGCTGGTCCAGACACCAGTCCAGCTCCTCCAGGGTCTCAGTCGCCAGTTTCTGGTAGGCCTCCTCTGCAGGGGCAAGACAGGAGGGCAAGTGGTCAGTAAGGGCCCGCTTCAGAGGGCTAGGGGACGGTCCAGGCCCGGGGTCTCCCACCCCACATACAGCTAAGCTGGGATACCCCGAGAAGACACATGGGTGACTCTTCATACTGGACAGGTGAGCCAGCTGTGCGGGCCTGGCAGTGGTCCTGTATCCTAACCCACAGTCTGTGGGTTAGGTAGCAAAGCTAACTGACTCCCTTGGAGAAAAGAAAACTCCAGTGCAGTCCTACAGTTCAAATCCTGGATCCTTCCTTTGAAGAATAAGTCAGATACAATCCCAGGGAGTACGGTTGCACGTGATGAATGGCAAGCAGCCACTCTGAGTCAGTTCTGGGTGTCCAAATGAATGTTAACAGCAAGAAAAATCACACCAAAAAATACAGAGGTAACCCACAGAGCGCAAGGAGCAACAGCGATTTCTCAGAGATCGCACACAAACAGACTCATCCCCTATCTCTCCAAACACAGCACACATATCACACTCAGGTGTGTGAGGTTTACGCTATCAGTCGTGAGAGAGATGTAATTCCAGTCATGTAGCAGGATGAACAGCAGTCTGCTGAGCAGGCCCATGTCTGCCAATGTGGGGATGGTGGGAAGACAGGGACGGTGGAAAAGAGGATCCAGTGAGAGACTCAGAACCAGTCGAGATCCATGTCAATACAGTCCAGCAAGGAACAAACACTAGATGGTTCACAGCATCCTGACATGGTTAACAAATACAAAGACATCTCAAACACACACGGACGCAAACAGACACGCGCACGAACACACACACACCAGACGAAATGCTAACCATAACACATCATGATTTTGTCTCCTTAGCCTCTCTGTCAATGAAAATATCCATCGTATCCGGGAAGCAAATGGTATAATCCGGTGCTGTGTATGAGTGTGTGCTGGGTAGTGTTTCCTATAAATGCTGTGTGTATAGGGGGTGGGCTGCTGTTGCTTCGGCGTCCCTGGTAGCCAAACGTGCTGTTCTCCCCCCAAGCTGTACCTAAAGCCTGAGAGGACTGCACCGTGGATGGGGAAGGGAGAGCGACAACATGTGGACTGGAGTAATAGAGGAGTGGAGACAGAGCTGGGAGCTCCCTATGATGTGTGTGCCTGCATGTTAATATGTGTTCACTGCTCAGCATACAAACACAACACAACACAGAGGTAAACAAATAGATGGCTGACGATATGGCAAAGAATGTAGAGCGTCACCGTAACAAGCCCCGCATCAGAGCATCCTCTAGTTTCTTTTCATGTGAAATTCAAGACATGCCTCTCTCAAAGTCAGCCTACGTTAACAGAAAAATGTCACCTTGTCAGAAGCCAATTAATATTGATGCCTTGACTCATTTAGGAAAGCACAGGCTTTCAATGCTGTTTGATCTGGGGGGGGGGGGGGGGGGGGGGGGGTCACTTTAGCTGTAATTCAATTACACACACACACACACACACACAGAGAAAACAGTACCAGATAAAAAAAACAGGAGGACCACATTTAATCATGCAATATCAACATTTCGGTTTGCATTTAGACCCCATAAAAGCCTTTATTTAGGCTTGATTCATATTTTTAAACCAACCTTTTATTCTGGGACAATTCATTCTTTGACTAAATGTTGCAGAGTTTGTAGGTCTGGGATGCATGTGTAGTTTTTTTAGCACCTGAATATTTCAAAGGGCACATGCTCACCATTTTTGTTTCAATGCATGACTATTTAGTGTCTAAGCACGACCACTGACCATCTCTACACCTCCTATTCTCTAAAAGATCCCCCCTCTCCCGCTTCATTGTCTTTGACAAATGTTTCCCTCCCTCCTTCCATTGGTCCCCTTCCTCTCCCACACTCCTCATTTCCTCCGCTGATCTCTGAACATCCTTCCTCCTCCCTCTTTTGTCTTCTTTCCGTCTCTCTCCTCTTTCTTTCTCTCGGTCTCCCTTTCTCTCTCCGTCTGTATCACTCCCTGGTGTGGTGTCGGTGGCTGGGGTGCTACTCTTTCTGACAGCAACTGCACTGACGTCAATGACATTCTTCTCATGCTTAGTGCGACATCAGACACCGGAGCTCGGAGAGGCCACTCTGCTGCACAGACGCAGAGCTGCAGCCAAACTATGTACCGGAACAGTTCGACAGTGAAGTCGGACTGTGAGACGGAGTGGAGGAGAGAGGAGGAGGAGGAGGAGGAGGAAGGGGAAGAAGGAGAAAAATATGCAGAGACAAGAGGACAAGGGAGGCTGGACTACTAAGGAAGAATACTGATGTGATATCAATTGTTTTGATAATTCATATATATTGTAATTTTGTAGTGCATCAGCCCAAATGTTTGGATATTCAGCAGCTTGTTACATTTTAAGAGAGCAGCTTGATCCCTGTGACAATTACAAAAATTGTTGCCCCTTTTAAATAATAAATAAACAGTTGATGTCGTCAAACCAATGCTGTGGGGATTTAAATTATATGGATGAAAGAGAAATAACAATATTGGTAAAATATCCATCTTTTGTACCTCAACTCTGCCCCATATGGATAGAGAAAGAACTGCCCGTCTCTTTAAATCCAACAACAGATTTTAAGAGGCCCGGGCTATTTAAATAAAATAGCCTACTTATTTGGGACTTGATATTATAATACCCAAAGCCCTGTTGTTTCCTTATAGAGTACAAGATACAGTAGAGTCATTTGGAGAAGTGGCCTCACTCGTATTACGATAAACTTTACATCCACAATACAGACCAAGAAAAGCTTTAGTAACATTTTGGATTGAGCGGGGTCCGGGGACCCTCAGGGGGCCCTGGCACTCTGTCAGGGAGTCTGCGAAATAATGTGCTATGAATAATAAACTTGTGCTGCATCATTGAACAGTGCCTATATATGCAGATGGAGACCATTTTCACCAATAAAACAAGTATATTGTGTGCATTACTCCCACCCACGCTAGCTGTGGGCCAATGATGGGCTCTGAAATGATTGACATGCAGCAAAAAAGTCATAATTTTAAAGCGCCTACTGAAAGTCAGCTTTAGACTGTTCCAGTCTTATTACTGTTCATAAGATGTTCAATTACTTGAAATGTTGGCTATAAATGCACTTTGAATTAAACCACTAAAAGGTATATAAGTGGTAACATTGCAAATGTCCCTGCTGTGGGACTAATGCAGGCTTTTCTCATCTTATCTCATTTTAACACGATTCAAATTGAAAAGTGTTTCTGTTTATCACTATGAAACAGGTCTGAAGTACTTGGGTCAAAAAGTTTTAAAATACAAATAGTACTAAGAGTATAAATGGCAGTAAGCATGTGCTTAATCGGTGTTTTGATTATAAGGGGGACCGTAGAGATTTTGTCGTCCATATTTGAATTCTGATCATGTTGGATATTATGTTCATGTTCTCTGGCTCCCTGCACAGCATTTCTGTGTTTGTCAGCCCCTCATCACCACCATGCTGATATCTAACAACAGGCAAAAACATCACTATAACAACACCAGCCTGCTTTATATTGATTCTATAAAGGCCTCCAGTTTTAAGTAGAAGAGTGCATACTGCTACGACCAATTATTCTAGTGCAATGCCACTTTGAATTAAGTACCCCTGCTCTTGCTGTCCAAACGTACCTGTAAAGGTGGTCTTGGTGATGGGCGGTTGGTTACACATGGGTGATCTCCTGCCGGGGACACACACAAACAAACACTAAGACATTTCCTTCTCAAAACAAAACGTTTTATTCTCTCTGCATGACTCTTAGCAGTAAATAAGCACCGTTTCCCTTAACTCGTTTCTACACATGTAGGCAGGACAGACTATTGCTGCTGTTGTTGAAGTCAGCTACTCAATAAGAACAGCAGAGGGCGAGCAAAGCCAGACTGTGAGTAGTGAGCACAGTAGACGGTGCAGGTAGGTGCAGCATGTCATCACTTATTGTGGAATAAGTGGAATTATAGTGGAACATCTTCGTCATAAAGTGACTGTCGTCATTTATTGGGATATGCTGGCATGTTGCCCGCTACAATCTTTAATTCAGTCACACCTCCCTCTTTGACAGATTTCATTTCTGTTTGAAAAAAACAAACAAACAAAGCAGTAAAGCTTGCAACTTACTTATTGGCTGCCCTGTCTTGCTGTAGATTAGTTAATGCACCAAAGTTGTTTCGTACAGTTCTCAAGCTGGCAAGAACCTGAAGGGAACGCGATAGATTAGGACCGAATCATACATTATCATATTTATGAAAATGTAAAATATGTAGACAATACAAAAAAAATAAAAATGGCGGAAGCCCTCACCTGTGCAAACGGCGTTACAATCATATCGTCCCCGTGACTGAAAGACACAAAGACAGTGGCTTTAATGTGAGCTGCAGATCTACAGTATATTGACATTCGACATCAGAATACATCATGTGCTGCAAAGGTCGAGGGGAGGAGGGGCAGGGAGGAGCAGGGGGGTCATCACATTAGATTAGTTTCACCATCCCTCATCCACTCAATCACAGTGACATGTTCACTCATCACATCAGCTACCAGCTGAGGCCCTACATCACAAAACGGGATAGTTTCAACAGTCTGAAGGGATTTATGGGTGGACGTGTCTCTGTACACATCAGGTAGTTTAGCGACTGCCATTTCGAAGCAAGGACACTGTAGAACCTGCAAGCTGTCTTTTCACTTGCTGTACAGACATGTCCCTCACGCAGTCGCCCCTCCTCCACGTCCTTCCCCTCTCTGCCCTTAACTATACCCCATAGGCAGTCGTTATTTCACATGTTTATTGACTTTCATTTATCCAGGTAAACATCAGCTGAGCTCTTTCCTAACTTCAACACATGGAGCAGGCGGAGTGTAAGGTGCACGTCAGTGAGCATTGTTGATTGGGTGGAAAGCGGTACTCATTCAAATCCAGCTATAGGAATGTTGACAGTAAACTTTGAGTCAGACTCTTGCGCCCCCCCCCGGAGCTGCGTTACGACTGTGAACATAGTCAACATTTGTTCAGGTGACAGTGTTGTGTTAGTGTCACGGAGCTGTCCTCCTACTGGTCAGTTCTACAAGACCGCAGCCACACCACGTACACACCCACGTGAGCTGACATGCCTGGCGTGAAAGTCAAAAGAGGGGCAGGCTTGTCATGTGCTTCCATCACAAGACAGATAGAAGGTACTCGGAGTAAAGACGACGTTCTCTCTGAGAGCGAAGGACAGAATCTGAGTCAGGGTATGGCTGTTCTCTCTGGACTATGTTCCTCTGAAGATGTCTCTTTGTTAAGTGCTTAGGGACATCCATCCATCCATTTTCCTCCGCTTATCCGGGGTCGGGTCGCGGCGGCAACAGGCCAAGCAGGCTGACCCAGACTTCCCTCTCACCGGCAACATGTTCCAGCTCATTCTGGGGGATCCCGAGGCGTTCCCAGGCCAGCTGGGAGATGTAATCCCTCCAGCGTGTTCTGGGTCTTCCCCGGGGTCTCTTCCCAGTTGGACGTGCCTGGAAAACCTCCAGTGGGAGGCGTCCAGGAGGCATCCTAACTAGATGCCCGAACCACCTCAGCTGACTCCTTTCGACGCGAAGGAGTAGCGGCTCTACTCCAAGCTCCCTCCTGATGACCGAGCTCCTTACCCTATCTCGAAGGCTGAGCCCGGCCACCCTACGGAGGAAGCTCATTTCGGCCGCTTGTAACCGCGACCTTGTCCTTTCGGTCACGACCCAGAGTTCGTGACCATAGGTGAGGGTAGGAACGTAGACCGAGTGGTAAATTGAGAGCTTTGCCTTCCGGCTCAGCTCCCTCGTCACCAAGACGGTCCGGTGCAGCGCCTGCTTTACTGCTGCAGCCGCACCGATCCGTCTGTCGATCTCCCGCTCCATCTTACCCTCACTCGTGAACAAGACCCCGAGATACTTGAACTCCTTCGCTTGAGGTAGGCACTCCGTCCCCACCTGGAGGGAGCAATCCAACGGTTTCCGGCAGAGCACCATGGCCTCAGATTTGGAGGTGCTAACTCTCATCCCCGCCGCTTCACACTCGGCTTAAGGACACATGCTATTTATTTCTTCATTAACTTGATTGTGAAGAATTTCATGAATAGTGATGTTGACACAAGTTTCATTGTTCATGCAACCCAGCAGACAAAAAACAAAGATATGAAAGAATGAAGCTTGAATGATTTGAACATAACTGGATAGTGGGCGTAGGTCAAAGAAGGGTCGTTGGTTTAATACTCCAGAGCAAAAAGCAGCATGAAGTCTAAGTTAACCTCAGGGCGTTCTTTTTCATCCTTTTGTCTATTTGTCTTTCCTTCAGGCTGAATCGACATGCTATATTTTCATTCAATATTTTTATTTCCTGCAGCACTGAGTGTACAGTACATGTAACTGGAGAGCCACCGCAGTGTAAAAAATTAGGAACGTGCTGTCAATATATACTGTACATCGACCCAGAAGATGCCAGCTGGTTTGTGTGGAGTGTGCTGTCTGGAGGCTGCTCTGCTACAGTTGAAATGCAATGGGGAGTTGAACATGTCACACTAATGCAGCGTCGTGAATAGATTAATTGCGGCACAAATATCCATTCCGTTATCCTTATGAGTTATAGAGACATATTCGGCAATTTGTCAAAATATCAGAGTCACATAAACTGTGCTTGCGGACACTTTGTGACTGACCACCTTGTTTATGCTACTGGATGTGGCTAAGAATAGACACCACACAATCAGCTGTTGGTAGCGTGGCAGCTTTAAGACCTGTTCTAATAAACAACAGCAGCCGTGACACAGATTCGGAGAGGCAGAAGAAAAAGCAGAATTAACCACATTCAGCACCATGGGGAGCATTTGGGTGTATTTCATGAAGGTTCAGGTGGAAGCAAGAAACGCGTTCTCGTGCACTCACATGTCACTGGCAATGGAGGAGTTTCGGGACATAGACTTGGGCGAGAGGTCGTAGTCACTGTCCGAGCGGTACAGGAACGACTCTCTCCGTTGGCTGTGGACAAAATTGGCCTGCAGGATGAGGCCTGAGCCCGGGCTGGCCATGGGGTCCAGGGGGCTGCGACCTGATGACGTGCCATTGTCCACGTCGAAGCTGCACATGAAAGGAAAGAGAAAAGGACAATGAAACAAAGAATGTACAGCTGATACTAATTGGTATTGTCATACAAAAAATGTCTTGCAGAATTTAAAAACATTATTTTGAGGGTATTTGAAAGGTGAAACAACATGTGTTATCATGTTCAACAAATATATAACATAACAATATTGTTCTTTCAACAGTTAAGAGATGAGGAGAAGGATGCTGTGATCAATTCTCCTCAGAATCTAAAACGATGCCACTTCTCCAGTCTTTTCCCGGAAAGATTCTTATAAAAGTGCACACTATGCATGAATAAATAAACTTCTAATAAAGTCCCGTCAGGAACAGTGTGTCCTTATGGCTCGTCGTGATGTGGCTAAACTACCCATATCTAAATAAATCACAGGCTTTATGCAAACATTAATTGCACCTTAGAGGTCTTGATGACTTCAGAGCTTACTCACATAAACCCACATGAATATTTCTTCCATCGCAGCAGCACAGACTCTGACATGCACTTCATATGTGGCTGATAAGCGGCTCCATGGTCACAAGCTGTGACATTCAAAACACAACATGACGTGCCTGCGCTGTACGTGACGTGCCTACCGTGTAGGCACGGGGGCGCTATCAGTCAGTCACTCATTATCTGGTTGATTATTGGATGGCTAGAACTAATGCAGTAATATTCAAAGCCATCTACATGAGATGTGCTGGGATTAAACTCTACGCAGTGCCACAGGGAATACCTCTGCTCTAACAAAGCCACTGACTCAGTGGAAAGGTGTTTTTAGAAACCAGTGACACCATTTCCCACTGGGATATCACGCCTTAGTTTCCCAGGTGATGACTAACGCCTGCCACCAGGGATATCGGCCTCATCACTAAGACTATTCAGCAATCACATAATCCAATCTGGTGTAGGTGCTAAAGTCAGGCGGGATTCCCCCGAATGCGACACAGAATACGCACGGGGATGATGCATACCTCTCTAGCGAAACAACCACACCTTTAATCCAATAGATGGATGGATACTTCATTAATAATCCCTGGATGGAATTTAAAACATTGTAGCAGCAATAAAAAGAAACAGATTCAAAAATTGTAAGCTCATGTTAGTGGTTTGTTCATGCAGGCATATGTATGTGAGAGCAGAAGATGTCCTCAGAACAGTGTGAACAGAGTGTTTGTGTCACATTCCCTCGCTGAACTCAATAAACTAACTTCTCAAACATTCCTTGTCATTACACGATGGGAAATGAGAAAAAAATGACATTGCCATCAGTCACCATCCTGTTTACCATCTTGAGCTTGTAAGTTTTCTCCAGGGTATTTCCCTTCCTCAACAGATGATTCACTGAGGTACCAGGTGCACGTTATTATCATTTGCATTCAGCGAGGTCGGTTTGTAGGTCGTGAAAATAGGGAATTGTGCTCATGGTTTGAGATTGTTTTGTGCGAGGCATTTTGGGAGGAAGAAGTCATTGTGCTTTCTCACATTTGAAACAAGACAGCGGGTTATCTCCGTGTGTCTGACCGACACACAGGACATGCCAAGCATATTTTCCACAACGACTAAATGGCTAAACGCTGTGCTATCGCTGTGTGATCTCTCCGAGTAGCAGCAGCTAAGTCAGTGTGAGCTTTGGTTGTGGAATGGGATAGTTTGGCTGTCTACCTGATGACTGAGGGAAGGACAATCGTATTGTCCTCTTCCCGGTCTCTAACTAGCTCTCAGACACACACACACACACACACACACACACACACACACACACACACACACACCGCAAGTTCCAATGACTCCCAGCAACTCTCCCCCAGTTTGTCTCATCTTGGACACGATGCCTCTGAGTCCTCATACTCTGTTTTTCTATATATAGTATTAGATCAGATGCATGTCAGTCTCAGCCAGTATCATCTCTACACTTACACGATCCACACCACCAATCCAATCCAATCCTCTTATTACATTCAGTGATCCATCTGTTTTCTTTACTGCAGGTGTGAAAGCTGTTATTCCAGGCACAGGTCAGTCCGTTCTCCAGCTGTTCCGTGCAATAAGAGTGTGTGTATCATGTTTGTGTAGCAGACAAACAAATATCTCAGATAGGAGATAGCAAAAGTGCCAAAATGTAACACCCAGCATATGTTTAACAACTGATTCATTATCACACTTACACGGATGTCACAGCCGAGACAGATTCTCAGACAAACCCCTGACACGTAAATCCACTCAGTGTGTGCGTGTGTGAGAGAACAGTGTGACTCCGCAGACACGCCTTCTTTGGGAGTGATCTTTGCAACTACTTTACTGAGGTATTGCATCAGCGTTGACATCATAGAGGGAATGACTGACCTTTTTCCCTGCTCTGACACAAAGCAGCAGGCTTTGACAAAAAAAAGAAGAAAAGAAAAATGTCAACACCCCTGTGACTGTTGTGAGAATCAACAAAAAGCACGAGTACAGCTCAGAGGGGGATTATTGTGGAGATGGGAAGTAAATCCAGGATTACTTGGAGACAAAGAGATGCCACAGTTTACCCAAAAAGGGAGTGATCCAGAACTCATATACGTAATTGGCAAGAAAAGGAAATACTTGATGCACAAACACTGGATGGATGACGAAGAGCTCTTTCAAGCAGCAAGAGACATCCCATCTGCTGAATATCAGTGCCGATGTAACCTCCTTGTCCATCATCAAAAAGTCACACCACCTATTGTTTTTATCTTTCTTTATATGTTTCCACGCAGAAAGAGAGAGGAAAGAAAGAGCGAAACTAAAAAATAAAGAACAAAATAACAAAATGAATTCATTCTTCACTACGGGTAGCAGTGAACAGGAACGTTTAAGAATAAAAGGTGATGTTTCCTGAATAGATTGTAAAATCCTCTGAGAAAAACTTGAATTTGGACTATAAACTCAAGTGGAAAGTCATTTAGCTACAATAGCCTGCAGCTACATGAACAGATGAGAAGACAGTCTGTAGGGACAGTGTTTCCCACAGGCGTAGAGTTTCAGGCTTCAGTTTAGGTTGCAGGGAAAACAGAACAAAGAGAGGGATTGTTTGTTGCTAGAACACCTTTCAGCTGCACTGTAACAGTGGTTTGCAGAGAACCCTCCGAGACCCATCGGTCAAACTGTCTTTCGGAAGCTGTAGCTGCCAAGAGTGAAGAAACTGCTATCGTATGAAGCTAGAAGACCTGATGAATCCATTGGTACCAGCCATGTCATACTAGCTAGTCGGGTTAGGCGCTCCTAACTTAGGCTTCAATTTTGCGAGAAACTGGAAACTGGCATGGTGATTTTCGGAGGGGTTTCCTGACCTTTCACCTCAGGATATGTGAATAAAAGTGAGTTGATTCGTACCCACAAATCTTTGTGATCATGCAGTTTGAGGGAAAAACAATGCAGTTGTTTGCATGCAGTACAAATGTGTTATTTCCGTCTTTCTAAACTGTTGTATTTGATTATTTCTGCATACTGGGCTCCCTCAACAGTACTGGAATTGCATATATTGAGTATGACTGGAAAGCCGAGACTCTTGTGGATCCAATAAACCTAATTGTATTCATGTGTGATGATGTTAGTCTACAAAGCAGCTCTTTCACATAGTGGGACCATTTTCTGAAACTTGACGTCACTGTATAAAATGACCTCTAGGATAATCGCAGCCTTGTGAAACTTTACAGCAACAGACTGAAGACCTGAGGCATTCAGAGGATGAATGGCCTTTATAGGTAAGTTGACAATAAGGGGGGATCTGAGCAGTTTCTACAACAGAAGCTCTCGCCTTCCAATCGCCAACAAATGCTTTCAGAAATCGCCCAAGTGTCAAAGGTTTTTGGTACCAAATCACGGCATGGGGTTTTCTACGGTGTTCCTTGAGATCTTCGTATATTAATGTTGAAATTTGGAAGGACTTTTGATCATTTTGATCATTTCTGTTGTGGTAAAAAACTGCACCAAATCTATGTAATGAATGGTATCAACCCAAAAATTGCTGCAACAACTTGAGACCTAAAAGAGCATCACATACTTCCATCCAAATGTTCTCAGCCATCTACTCTATTCAACGCTATTCTAATCAATAATCAATTCATTATCATTCCTGATTTATGAGTAGAACAACTTGACACACACTGCTGAGTTGCATCTCAAATAAACCTTCAGGTTCCAAGCTGTCACATGATGTACACCACTTCTATGTGGTATATACTATTGACCTGCTACCTCCCCCTAAAGATCAACTGTTCCCCCCTACAACACACAAACAGCCCTCTATGTGGCTCTCTGTGGAGTTAAATGTACAGTACTGTAGTTGAGAGGGCAGTGAGATAGACGAGTAGTGGCAGTTGTGACTTTATACAGTAGGACGCTGCTGGGTCACATAAGTGCCTAAGGACACCACACAGCTCTTTAATCCTCTCTCTCTGTCTTTGGCTCGCCATCACTTCGGTCTCGATCTTTTCTCTCCTTTTGCATCTATCCCTCCCTCTCTCTTTCACATGCACGCACGCGTCTACACACACACACACACACACACACACACACACACACACACACACACACACACACACACACACACACACTCCAAGTGGCATAGATCGATGACTCATTCATTTTCAGCCCTGGGTCACTTGAGCAATTACAAACACCACAGGAATTGACAGCGCTGTGAGGGGACGTACTGGGGAAAGAGGTCAGGGCATAAGTGTCTTTGGTAAATAATCAGCTGAGGGGAGGATAGTGAGGCTCTGTTTTCCAAGAATCATTCAGAGGTGGTTGGCCAGAAAAGGTCCAACAAGGCAGGAGAGAATAGGCAATACCAACATGATATGTTTCTCTCTTGTCAAAGAATATCCCTCGCAAAAAATGCTTTCTCTTTCACTAAAACTAGGACACGAATGTGGAAAGAATGACACAAAATGGGCCATAAAGTGCAATTATAGATGTGTTTGAAACGCGTGCTGTGATGTTGATCAGAATAGAGCTCTGTGTTGAAGTAGGGAAACAAGGGAAGATGACACTTGATGTATTTTAGAAAGCTGTGAGGACAAAGGGGAGCAGGCAGTGGTGAAGGGAAAAGGAGAGACTTGTCAGAGCTGTTTGTGTGTGTGTGTGTGTGTGTGTGTGTAGTGTGTGTATTTATGAGGATTGTGAGGAGTGTGTTGCCTCGCATGCTTGCAAAGTGCCGGTATGTGATCCTGAACAAATGCGTGGCAACCTTGACCATGTTCTAACTGCAAAGCAGCGACTCATTACAGAGGGAAAGAATATGGAGACCAAAGACGAAAGAGTTGGCAAAGATGACGCATAAGACATACTGCAATGCAATGGAAAAGCTGTGTTTGGCTTTTTTAGCATTGAATGCTCTGTCAGAATATTTGCCTTGTTTACTTATTGTCTGATCAGACATTCAATGATCTTAATCAGAATTAATCAGAATAAGATAATAAAAAGAAAGCGTTCGGTACAAAAACATGATTACGTTCCTTTGGGACTGAAAAAAGAATCATTTGAATCATACCTGAGTTTCAGCTCTGGTACCGTATCAAATAATTTAGATGAGCTCTATGGTGGGTGAAGTGTGCCCAACTACGAATGAGAAAAGAGATGAGCAAAAGACAGAAAAAATTCAGTTCTGCATCTTTTTCTCCACCTAAGCTTACACATACAACCGTGACCCTAATGTGACAGCACATGTGAGCGTCAGCTAATTCAGTTTCATCGCTAAATACTCTCTTTGACCTCCTGGCCAGAAAACAGCTCCATGAGACAGCGCGTTAGTGTTCATAAACCTCTACTTCTAAGCACTGTCCTCGCCATCTTGTATAGAATGTCAACAGAGGAGTGGGCGGGGCCAAGCACTACCGTACCACCAGTAAATATGATATAGAGGTTACAAAAACAAACTAGTTGTGAGGAGGCCAGCACCCACAGGCCTGTCAGGCCAAGCAGATAAGTGACTGATCACTTGTTGATAACCAAAACACGTTTGCTTTTTGTGCCACATACTCATACAGACACAGGAAGCCACCATGCAAACACACATGCATGAATTAAAATGAACACCAATCGGGCTGCGAATGCAGGCAAAATTGGTCTTTGGCAGATAATTAGTTAAGGACTGAGCCACAAAGTTATAGTACAATGTTTTGTCTGTGAAAAATGATCCTTAAGGGTGTGCTCTCTCTCTCTCTCTTGCCCTTGTCGTAACACTACTTTAGTGCTCGCTGTCACTGCGCCATTCAAGAAACTCAGTCAGTCATGAGAGACATACAAAGAGGTCACTATGGCAATGTAGCACAATCTCAGGTCACATGGTTCAGTAAAGTAAACCAGTCTTGCTTCTATATGCATAGAGATCCACTTGACTATGAACCTATTTTCAGTCCTATTCATCATAATCTCAGGTCTGAATCCCTAAAGGTCAATTTGGGAAAATATGTCAGATAACGTGCATGTTGTCAGGCCCTATGAGAGGCCAGATAACACGTAACCTTCAACATTCACGGCCTGCCTGATATGCCCGACTGCGGACTGAAAAAGGCCAGATGCAAACACTTGAGTTCAAACTCACACGTACCCCACTTCTCCACGCTCACCATAACACTACTCCGCCTTTCAAAGTGGGAAAGAGGAGCTAAAATAAGTGTGGCGCTAGAAGGATTTTATAAACATCTGTTCATTTCCAAATCCTTCCATCTTTTGCCAAACTCAAGCTAAACCGCTGGAGGATACCCAAGAGTCTGCGTACATGAACCTGCGCCTACACAGTTGGGTGGAGTCGGGGTTTGGTCGAGCCGGGGGCCACGTCACTCACCCGGACCACGTCACTGTCGAAATACGTGAGCGCACAAGCGCTCATGTAAGCACGCAGCTGTCACAGACATACAGCTAAGACACACATCCACAGATGCTTAACTTGTGTGTTTGATGTACCTGTCTTGATTAGAATTAGCCGACTTAGAGAAATAATGCTTACCTCTTCCTGCATGACACATGCATATGCTGCACAAACACACTCACCCGAACACAAACAGCTCAGGTTTTTTGAATAATACTAATGGCCACAAACCTTGTAAGCTGAGTGTTAACAGTTGTGAAAGACACAGCGGGGAGGAGAATTCCTGAAAGAAGCCTTGATACAACAGTAAATAACAGAAGAGAGGAGGGCAGGACAGATGGAGGAGGCGGTATGCTTTGTCCAGCTGAGCACTGCTTTTGGTAGTTATTCAAGAAGATGCTCATCCAAACACTGCCAGATTCTCAGCTCTTAACACGAGAAAGAGCTACATTCTGCAGTCAGCTCAAACATTAATATCAGGTTTATGTGTCGCTTTACTACATTTCACACCTTCAAACCACATCATGTACTGTGATCTCCGCCGCTCAGAGAACCACCACCCTCAAAGACCTAATTAATACGTCTTCATTTCACACAAGCGTCATTTCCTGCTGAGGAGGTTGCAGAGCAGATTAATAAACTGAAAATGTGAGAACACTGTGAACCAGAGGGGGTTCAGCCCCCCCCCACACGAACAATGTGTGTTTGTCAAGGGTTGTTCTGATCCCTTTAAACTAGTCTGCCCCAGAGTACCACAATGAAAAAACTGTGATTATTAACTTCCAATGTTAAAGCTACAGGGCAGTTTCTTAGTTTGGAATGACTGCTGACAGGCAAGGACAAGTTGAGACAGCAGGGGGAGGGAGACAAGAGGGGGGAGGGCAGGGCGAGTTGTGCCCCAGGCATTGCGCTCTGCATCCTGCATTTATCTTGGCCAAGTGCAGACAGGAGAACGTCTTGAGCGACACAACACATTCCTCAATGAATCATTCCTTCGCCGTTTTACAACCTTGTGTTTTGACGATTTCGCCGACTGAATAGACAGTGAGTTCTAATGAAAGCACACCGAGGGTAAGACATCGTTATTGAGTCTGTCTGATAAAGCATACTGGAGTTGGGGACACAACAAGTCTAATCTGACCACAGGACATGCCATGCACAGAGAGAACAGACACAAAAGCCCTGTAGCTGACACATCTACAGGGTACAGAAGGTTTCTGCAGATAACCACAGAAGAGGCAGAGAAGATTTGCTTGACAAGAAGAGTGATGGCATTCAGGCGACAGTCGAAGGATCCACAAACGGAGAGAGCACAGCAAAAACGGGGACAAAAAATGAAAAAGGAGGGACTTCGGACGAAGCCGGTGAGGCAGAGAAAAGGTACTCCCGAGAACAATTAACAGGCGGATGGAGAACAATAGAGCAAAACACACGCACACACAACAAGCAGGATTAACATAGAAAATATTGCCAGTAGGACAAAGTTCTCCGTCTATTTACCATATTCCCTCTGTGTTCTTCAATGAGCTGGTGGAGCGCGACCGCGGTTTAAGAATGATACTCATGGTCAGGCTTTTCCTTCCACACTACATCTGCGAACACACACATAAAGCCACACACTCCCCCTAAAAAGGGCCACCTGGAGCCCTCAGCTGTGGTCTGACCACAGTCCTGACTGGTCTGAAGTGATCCAGTGGGAGCTTCTCTTCCCTCAGCATGTGAGTAATGGTGGAGTGGCCAGGTCCGCCAAGCTGCTTGAGACCAGACCTGGGTACGGTCAGATCAAACCCTCCATCCAAGATGATTCCACACTGCTGCTGCTGCTACTCCTCCAGCTCCGATCGTTTTGACAGTAGGTGGTTTCTTTACCCTGAGCACGCTCTCTCTCTCTCTCTCTCTCTCTCTCTCTCTCTCTCTCTCTCTCTCCTTTACCCTGCGCTCTCGCTATCGCTCTCTGTCACTCACTTGCACTTATCTAAACCAGCCATGCACACACACTCCGTTTCACTTTGCTTCTCTCTTTCAAGTCCCCAAGTTGTTTTTTTTCCCTGACTCTTGGAAATAAGATCTCCTTCCCTCACAGTCTCTTCCCTCCTCCCTCCTACCTCTGTCGCTCTTGCTGTCTTTTTTTTTTGTACGACTGTGTGCCTGTCTTTGAGTTACATGACTCTCCTCTGCTGCCTCTCTGCTTCCCTAAGCTGCAGCTTGGGTATGTCTGGAGTGGGAGGGGTTGTTTTGGTAGTAGTAATTCCTTGAAAGGCGGGACTTGTATCCCCTAAGCATCCCCTAACAATCCCCTAACAATCGTCTCAAGTGTCAATCACACGACTGCCACAGTAAGCTAAAACCAACAGCTACAGCATGTCATCGATCTGGAGGGAGTGCACTAAGATAGTGTCGGTTGACGTTCTTCACTCCAATAAGAGATGCAATAAAAAGGATTTACTCAAGATTTCTTGAATTTGCACATGGCAGCATTATTCAAATTGAGAACATGTGCAGGAGTGAAAATATGTGAAAGGAAATGAGGACTAAATTAATTTCACTTTTACTATCAATCGAAGCTATTTTAATAGTGACACATGATAGCTAATGATTTAGTCTAATAATGAATAAATTAACTTGCCAACTAACTGAACTGCACGGTAAATAGATAAGCAGCATGTTTTTCAACGTGCTTCAAGAGTTTTACAAGTATATAAGAATATCATTTTAGTTTCGGACTCTAATTTCTGTATATGTAAATCATTCTCCAAACCAACAGAAGCCGTCATGCTAAAATGTGTCACAAAGGTTTTCTTCTTCTCCTATTACTCATCACAGAGTGGGTTATTTTGATATGAATGTCACATTTTAAAAAGCTTCGGCAATGCCTTACTGGCTTTAGGATACTTAAGATTACTACGTACGCAATAGATCGGAGTGTGGAGCTCAGATGGCCTCGTCTGCTGTCAGAGCTGTGGGCGAAGGAGCCAGCATTAGCAGTCCACCGGGCAGACAGGTGTGTCCGCTGTCTGGCATGTCAACCACACATGAATGAGTAAAGCCAAGCAAGCCACTCCATCTCTGTGTGTCTCAAGCCTGCAGCTTGTAGTATGTTGGAGGACACGAATCAACCAATAAAGCAAAACTAGGAAACAAGTATATAACAGTCAGACACATAGGTATTGTTTCGCTTCAGAGCATTATCCGGCCTCTCCCTACCCTGCTCTTGCACTTCAGACAATGATTTGTTTTTATGTAGTTCTCTCTGTTGCAGTTATCCATTAGGGATGAAGTGATAAAGCAGCACCAGATCAGCCAACACAGTTTAAAAAGTAGGACACACAACAACTGCTGCGTCCCCAGCTGTAGCTCCAGGAAGTGAAATCTCAGAAGCACGAGCGAAACACGCAGACAGAACACAACACCTGTCCCCGGAAACACTGCAAGCATCAGCGTACACATTATGCCGGCCCTCTCATCTTGAAAGCAGTGAGAATATTTACATGTCATCAATACTGCAACTGGCCGTATGCGAGAGCAACGAGAGATGGACATCTGTCGGAGGACGCGTCTCTTTTGTTCAAGAGAATAAAAAACAAAAGCGGCAGAAAAGGAAATGGATCCATCACCAGCTCTTATGAGGGAGGAATAAATTGCTCATTGCACCCATTGGACGGATAATACCGGGGTCATCCACGGCCACCGATGCTTCACAGTATATTACGTAGATGTGCTTTTATGTCAGGGAAGAAAGGAGCCAGGCGTGAGGAAAGAGCGACACGCATGACGTATGATAACGCCGCGTGTACGCACATGCAGATGGGCTCACATGCAGAAAGATGCACAAGCCACACAAGGGCAGACACATGGCCACTGGCCACACTGTGCAGGCAGACAGATCCTGGCAACGTTACAAATGAACATCAAATAAAGACTTTGATGTGCAGTGACTAGGCCCTGCACTGCTAATCTAAAATTGCATGCAAAATCAGATTGTGGTGTAACCATGTATCGATTTAAAGGATGGCTTCCTTCAAAGTCACCATGTGACCGTCGGTTTCAAATTCCAATGCCAGAAACGGAACGAACGCTGATTGACGAAAGACACTTCTGAAGCTTTTCACTGCTGGCTCACATCTCTTGGGACGGTGCAGGCTCGATGTTGATACTTTATGTTTTACGCTCCACACGTGTGTGTGGAGCGTTTGACGTGAGTTACAGTGAGTTGAACAGGCACGTCTAATGCTTCCAGTGTAGCATGGCAGAATGATGGAGTTTATAGCTTGGTCAAAGTGGTGAAACTAATCCTATTACCACGGTCTGCACATTCCAATGCGGTCGAGGAAAGAACAACAAAAGGAAACAGTTTCCTTTAGAAAACTCTTTCCTCTGCCTCGTACCACATGAATCCCAACAAAAAAAAAGGCAGACAGCATGACGACAAGACTTATGCAAACACCCATCATCCCCATGTCACCAGAGTGAGCTCAATATTTAAGAAGCTGAACACATTTAGGCCACATTATTTTTACTTTAAAGATAGATCGGTTTAGATAGAAGCAATCAGCGAACTAGGTCTTTATCTGCAGGAAATGGCTCTTTGTGTTCTCCTCTCTCTGCTGTCCCTTGGGAGAAACAATGTAGCCCACAAGTTCATACAAGTACACACACTCACACATAATGAGGAGTTACTTGTTTGGCTACACTACTGCCATTCCCAGAAAGCAGAGATGTAAGACATAAACAAAAATAATGAATCATTTAAGCATTTTAAAATGATGGCCCCTGGTCTTGGAATGACCTGCAGACTAGACTCCAATCTGAACTATTAAAAACAAGATTACTGCAAGATTAATATACTGTGCATTACCATCGTCTTTGCTTATCTAATTATTTCTGCATTCATGTTATAGAAGGTAACTGTTATTACAGTATTTGTAGGCCAAAATTGGTCTGTAAGGGACTTATTGCACCATATAATAAGTAACACTTATTGTGTAATTGTTCTGTGCCTTACAGTAATTGTGTTCTATGCTATTCTGTACAACTCAGAGCACCATCGCCACCTAGTGGTACAACGGCTATAACTGTTGTCTCATAAAACAGTGAAAAAATAATTGATTTAGTTAAAAAAAAAAAAAAAAAAAAAAAAGGACCTCTCCCATGAACCAAGTTCAGTATATGGTGCAGATAAATCCACTCAGTGAATGCTGGTATAAATAGCACTTAACTATGGAGCAGGCAGTGAGCACAGATGGCTGCTCCGCCGTATTGACAAGGCCTCATCCATATCTATATGTCTACAAACGCCACCAGCCATTACTGCTGCTTCATATTCAAATACTAGAGGCACAAACACATTGGACTTCATGTTTATGAACGCGCGCGTCAGGTGATAGCACAACTTAGTTTTGTTTAGGGGTCGCCAAGTACATATTAGTCGAGAAAATGCAGCATGAAAATGGATCTAGCGAGGTCTCAACATTTTTCTGTGAGAGCTTTAATGGACAGAGAGTGCTGTGATGATTGGCTTATGCGCTGCTGTGGTTAGTGAACGGACTTGTCCTCTTGATCACCTTGATGCTTTAGATCACGGCTGGATGAAGCCCGCTCATTTCTCATTCACCCGGCTCTTGACCGTGTTTCGTAAAAGCAGAATAGCTGCTCCTAGTGGAACGTGGATGGGACACAAACATGCACATGGACACAGATACACGCACTTCAGGGCGGCGGTATAGATTTAGCAGAGTAAACAGCTTCGATTGAGCTCTAACAACACAGCCAGCCACCAAGCAACCACCATTTACACAACGCTCGGGTGTGAACGCCGTTCCAGTTCTGTGTTGTCCAGGTGGAGCTATTCATCGGCTAATGCTCTGATAAGAGAGGGAACGCACACACTTTGTGTGGATTCATGTGTTTGTACGGCATCCACGAATGGACACACTTACACGTTACAGTCGCAGTTTACACCCAAAGAGCAAAAAGAAATTTTAAGTTCAACTGGCATTCAATTTCACCAAGTCTTCCTCCTGAGTTGTCTCACGACTTTTACTTCTAATTTACTGAATCTCAACTTTTCACATGCAAGCGATGGTTGGCTATAAACAACAGAGAAAGAGCAACACGAGCAGAAGCTGGTATGCCGTAACAACACTGAATATCTAACTATTGAAAGCATGCAGATAGTGGAAAATAGTTCCACATGAAAACAAATCCTCAATGCAAGACAGAAAATTTAGGCTAAGATCACATCATCATCCCCCCCAAACAGTTTCAGTCCCAGAGAGCGATCATACCCTCTCCTGCCACGAGGTTTGATGTCGATGGGCTTGTTTGTGGCGTAGGGTGAGCCGCTGGAGCAGGCGTGGCGGTAGCGGGCTATCCTCTCCAGAGATAGATAATCGGAGTTCACAGGCAAACTCATTTTAAAGAGGCTCTTAACCACTAACACACACACACACACACACACACACACACACACACACACACACACACCTGTGTCAAGACAGATGTAGAGAGAGAAAAGACAGAGTGACAAGCCTGATGAAGATAGGAAGGAGGGAGGGGTGTGTGTGAGAGGATAGAAGAGAGGGCATGAAAAAGATGGAGAGAGTGAATGAGAGAGAGAGAGAGAGAGAGAGAGAGAGGGAGGAGCAAAGTGCAGGGGTAGAGCAAACTAATTTATCTGTTTTCTCAGATAACCATCACTAGTCAGTAATGACAGCCACAGGAATCAAATGTTTTCAGTGCTGTAGATGTGCTGCAACATAATCGTGTTACATGTACGACACCAGTCAACTACAGGTAAAGCTGTATGAAGGATGAGAGGAGTAAGTTCATTAGTGTAAAAATTATAGAAATAAATGAAAGTAAGAGGCCCTGATTTGAAATGAAACATAAGTTTTTGTCAATGCAGATGCTCCCACTGCAGGTAATGCTGGAGTCTTTCTCTTCCATACCACCTGCTTCTGCATGCACTCTGCCAGTAGGTAAGATCGTACCAGAACCCAAACTCCATTATTGTACAGCGACCAGCACAAACTTATCTGTTTATGGAATTATTATATCTGGAAGGCCAATTCTTTACCTGACAAGTGCAAGAGATGTTTCAGTGCATTGAAGAAGAGCAATTTCACCTGGAGTCATTTATCATTTTTCAAATTTTTGTCAGTGGTCTTGGGTGATCCCCAAGACTGTTGGTGAGGTGTGTGTGTGTGTGTGTGATGCATTTATTCCGTTGTGTTAAAGCTACAGTTGGTAAGTTCAGTCAAATTCATATTTGCTCAAACTGTCCCATAACCTGATGGTACTAAATAAAAATTCTGTGAAAACATCAGGTTCCTCCGCCTCCTCTTTGTGCTCCTATTCCACCATGCCCGAAGGACAACAACCAATCAGAGCCGAGGAGTCTCTAATGCAGCAGTCACTCACTGCTGCGATCAAACTGTCAAACTAGGCAACACTGATCAAATATGATTCAACATTATGTTCCTCTATTTCCTATTTCTCACCTCAAATGTCTTCAGAAACATATTTAGTGTACTGATCAGCTGTAACATGAGAATGTTTGCTCTGTTTTTAAGATGGTGGCCAGGTCACAAACTTTCTCATTGATGAGCAAATATGACAAGTGTGAGGGTTAAGCCGGGTTGTGACACTTTATACTGCACACTTTATTTTCCCTCACATAAGTACAACAGAAAATATTAAAGAATGAGGAAATTTGCTTCATGTGGTTGAAAAATAATATAATTTATATGTCAAACTAACTGCTGATTTGCAGTGAAAAGTGAACAGAGGGATACAGAAAACCAAGGATGACTATTACAGTAAATAAACAGTAAAACTATTTCAGCATAACCGAATATTTGAAACACTCATAAAAAGAAAATTAGTCACCTCATTTCACATCCTTATTTTGACTAAAAGGTCAAAGTTTACTGAATGAAATTGAATAAAACCAGCCCCGAGCCCTGTCACACTCCCAAACCTTGGTTCTAGCTCACTTCCACCACTAGGGGGAGCAGAGTACCACAAGAAGGGATCCGGGCCCAGCAGTGCAAACCTTCTATCAGGAGAAATGCATGTGGAATGATCAGCAGTAACTGCAATTGCAGCCAACAGCAGGGATTAGTAGAGCAGATATATGTATTATATATATTTTATTAAAATACAGCTGTGTTTGTAGAAAGGACGTCATAATATTAAGAGCTGCAAGTGGAACAGTCAACTGAGCATGAATATGTATTACTGTCATTTGCTATGGTGAAGTATCATATTCAGACACTTCACCACCATCAAGATCAAATCTAAATCACTCCAACGGATGCATCTCGTCACTGTTCTCAGCCGCCAGCAGGGGGCAGTCTGCTCTGCGGAGAAAATGCAGGTACAAGAGCTCAACCATCGGCAGCTCCAAACACAGAGATCCGTGAGTCTCTGTGGAGTCACGGCTCCTGCTCAGCTCTGACAGGAGCAGCCAGCATGTGACAACAGCTCCTGGGCGGACAGCGAGGCTGTCAAAGTCACAGACGCAACGACAGACACAACAGGCTTTCAACGCGCGCACCGAACATCACCACATGAGCACGCAGACGCGCGAGTGCTGACTGAACGCAGGCACTGCGAGCGCGCGCACACACACACACTGCCGCATGTACATGCCAGATGAAGCGCACACGGTTCAAATCACAAGGCCGCACCGATCTCCGCTTCTCTTGCTCCCTCTGACAAACACACACACACCTGTAACACGAGCATATGTCTGCCTCGCGCTGTCAGAGGCTGCGACGAGCTGTGACAGAGCGCCACGTGACGCTGCGATTGTCGTCACTGCGTGTCCCTGAGGCTCGGAGCCATAACACCAGAACCGCTGTACCTGAACGATGAAACGTGGACATGCAAGCGGCGACACATCTTCAAATACTCGATATGGGTGGTACAGTTCAATTGTATGTTCTTATTTTCAGTTTAAAAAGGGATGCAGGGAAGATTGTGGTGCTTCAACCCGGTAGAGAAATTAAGCCATACAAATGAAAAGTCAACATTTTCAATAGTTATATAAGCAAAATGTTACATCGCTGCATACAAATAAAGCATGCATGGAAAGTAACTCAGTGATGCAGATTCCACAGGTTAAGTACAAAAGTGAATTAACTAAGCCTCGCCCCCTGCTGCTATTCAAGCTACAACCATGGAGCCCACGGTGTCATTAACCGCGGAAAGAAGCTAAAGCCTACAGATCACAGTGTAAACGTGAACCACAACTAGCTCCACATCCACAAAGCCTGAAAAGGAAGAACATCTCAACAATTGCATGAGCGCTTATGGAGCAGAACCGGATAGTTGATGGGCCCTGGTTAGAGCTGGCCTAGGCTATGATTGGCCAGTCTGTTCCTCACTGGTGCTTTGGGTCACAGCTAGAGTACTGTTCCCTCCTGTGTTTCTATACATAAGGTTTCTTGAGTGTAATGACACAGGCTCATCAATAAAGCCCGAGACCCCCACTGACTGGGATACTTACATCTACAGTTACACAACTATTCTCCATTTATATACTCTTACTACTTTAATAAGATACTTTTAATGTACTCTTGTTTACCATTTTTTTATCGTACATTTTCATATTTTCTATTTCTAAATGATGTCTTGTACTATTGCGGTGTGTTTATTGTTATACACCAATCCCCAAGGCAAATTCCTTGTATGTGTACCACACTTGGCTTCTGAGAAAGAGTTAGGATGAAGACTCTGACACGCTGAAGCAGACGACATCCTTAAAGCTACAGTACTGACTGTTTTTACACCGTTTCCCTGTGAAGACAAACATTACGATGGACTGTGAGGAAGCCAAAGATACAGGAAGGAGGTCGGCAGCTTGTTGTCGAGCTTTGTCCAGAGGCGAACAGAAAGTGACAGCGAGGGAAGGGATTGGCTTTCTAGCCATCTTTCAGGTTCAATGACTGATTTGTCCGTCAAGATAGCAGCTTCATGGAGGCTAATTGAATTGTATAAGAAAGCTACGGGCAGTGTGATATAGCATGATGAGAAATAAGGTACAACAGTGGCCTAAAGCATGCTGTTGCAGCTTAGTGCCATGGCAACTGTACCTCCACTGCCTTTGCAAGGAAACCCAAATATGATTACAAGGATGTAAATCAGCAAAGGTGATGTGATTAAGAAACAACAATAGAGATGCCTGTGGCACTGTTTGTGTCAGCTGTTCTTAAGTATGTCATCGAGCACTTCCTGCCTTCCTTCACAGTCGCCGGCTGGCTTTCATGTGTATAATGTAGTTGCCATGTTGACCTGGCAGAATTCAAAAGGGACAGGTAGGTCCTGACAACCAATCAGCCTTCAGTTGCTAAGGGCACAGCGGCAGATTGTGTAAAGAGAGAACGAGACTGACAGCGGGCTTCACGGGGGGGGGGTCAAGTATGGACAGATGGAGGGAAGCCGTACAACCGGCGCCGACTGTTTGATTTGAGGTTTAAAGATGAACTTGTTAACTTGCCCTCAACACGATCAGCCCAAACACTCCATCGTAGGATGTGACCGGGGGTTCATGCCAAGTAATTAACGATTCACAGCAGCCACGCATGACTTACCTGTGCTCTATTTATACATCCAGCCGACTCACAGAGCGGAGAGGGGATTTAAGGTGGCTGCACCGTTGTTTGTCTCACGGACTCACCGGAGCACAAAGGAGAATAGAAAACAGCCCCTGACACAAATTATTAAAAAGAAGAAAAAGAAAAGTCTGGAGAAAGCGTGACCGCTGAGGATAAGACCAACAAAGGCTTCTACTTGTGCAGTGCACGTGTGTACTGCAAGCGTGTGTGTGTGCATCTGGTTGCGTACATTGACCACACGAGTGTGTCGTGTTGTGTTGATTCTGAAGTGATGCTGGACAGTATGAATGTGAGAATCATGTACTGAGACCAGCATGAAGAAATCTGCCTCAGGGGCAAAGAATCACTTGTGTCAGTCCGGCTCTCTGAGTCACATGTCCATCAGAAACCTGACAAACCAACCAACCAGTGTTATGAAGGACTGGAACCAACCGTTATATCTATTAATGATTCCTCTATCCTTTGTTTTCTTTGACTGATTTATTAACTGTTGTTTGACATTTTTGCTTCATAAATGACTCAAACGATTTATTATAAACATTGTTGATGATCTTCTATCTAATTGAATAGTTGATGATTTATTGACTAATTATTTCAGTATCATCAATGCCATTTGTCAAGATCTACACAAGAATGTTTCAAGAAACAAAAAACACTCCTGTTCATTTTCAACAAAAGTAAAAAAGCTGAAGAAAACAAACAAATGAACCTTAAAATAATTACAAACATACTACACCCACAATGAAAAGCAGTGCTGTATAAGTGCTGTGTTCAGTGATGTAGCTCCCTCCTTCCACATATTATCTAAAACAGAAGAACACAGAATTATGTCTGTGGTGCCAAGTTGGGCACAGAACAGCAGAACAGACCCTCAAATGAAATGTCATTTTGTGTATCCCTCCATGTACTTGCGGTACATGTTAAATAATTGTATCGTGATATGCTGCTGCTTCTCATTATCAGGGCTGCAGACCAAGACCAGTGACGCCTTTTAAAACGTCTGCTGTTAACTCAGCATCACACAGTCCTCTGTAATGGACATCAGACATCGTCCTGGCCGGCAAACTGAGGCCGTTTTTTGATGGACACATTAATGGAGAGATGAATGGGTGGACGATAACAGGTTGCAAAACGCCCCATGGACTGCAAAATCTTCTCAATATGGCTCTTGCATCTCACACACGGACGCGCACAGTTCCAGCCGTAGTGCACCGCAAGCACATGGTGAAGCTAACAGGTTTAACTTGACAGCAGTCCCGGTGATGTCAGAGTAATCCCTCATTAAAACCCTGATGACGTCACCACACTGGTGAGAGTGTGCGAGAGATGAGGCCCCGTGCTTAAAGAGTGCGTGTCCAAGCCTTCATAATGTGTGTTTGTGTGTGTGTGTGTGGGAGGGATACCCTGCCAGTGAGCACCAAAGGTGTCCTCGCCGCAGTCCAGGTAAATCCAGGTTAAGATGTTCCTCAAAACACACCCAGGAAACACTAGCGTCACAGGGGCTCATCTTAATTATACTGTCCTCATCCGCAGTTTATTAAGTACGCCTCCCCATTCACACAAACAAGTTTAACCTCCAGACAGAGGCAAAAGAAGATTGATAGGAGCCTGTTAACCCGACATGTAGACATTCGCAGGCTGAAATCAGCTGCAGACCACGATTCAAAGGGTAAACTAGTATTATTCCATTTTAAATAAATAAAGAACACACTCCTCTTAGCTACTTTGAGCTGTGTTACTACGTAAGAGTTATAAAATAGAAGCACGTCTTACATTTATCTTCTGTGTGGTCTTGTAAGTAATTGCTGCACTACAGTGGCTAGAGTTTACTACAAAGAGTGAAATATCCACAGAAAAAACCTAAATAAAACAGAAGTCTGATCAAAGTGACAGATGAGCAACAAATATGCAAATATATGTATGCAAATAGCAGTGATGGGGAACTGCACAGAGGGGCATTTTAGAGCAATTTTTCCCTTGTTGAGCGCATCAAGGACATGATCAAAGTGGAATAATTGAAGAGTGAATCATCTAGAGGAAGTGCATGCCAGGCTCTGAATAAACTGTCACCAGCATGAATCTCTCCTTGCAGGTGTCAAAGCTACAGATCGGTGGTGGTGCTGCATAGGGACCCTTTATAATTCATATGTTGATTTTGTCAAGATGTTGTGGGGTTGACTTTATCTCACTTCAGCGCCCTGCGGATCAACCTGCCAAGTCCCCTAATCTCAATCCAATAAAAGCCCATTTGGGAGGACATGAAACGGGATCTTTGCAGCATGAATGTGCTGCTGGGAAGACCTACGTCCACGTGGAACAGTCAGTGCTGGCTGTGTGTACTGAATTAAGCGGCTGGTGGAGAGTGGAAATTAAGTACAGATATTCAGTGCAGTCACAAATATTCTGTCATTATCCATGCTTGTTCCCGTCCTGCGTAGAGAGTGTTATTCTACACCCTGCAATGTGAGAGTCTGTCGTACCGGATGGATGAGTGTAACAGTTCGGGTTTGTGCAAGTGGGAGTGTATTTCCTCGAAGGAAGCGCTGTACAATTGCATTTATAATACACCAATGCATGTAAAAAAAATACAGAGGAAGGTGATATATGTAGACTAAACATTGGTTATATGAAGAGCTTGGATGTGTAGAGTTTGGAAAGGAAGTCTGACACAATGCACCAATAAAACTGGACAAAAGAGAAAAGCAGAAACAAACTATTGTCAAAGAAACCTCTCAAAAGTTTCTAGGGTTTCAACTCAAGTCATTCCCCATCCTGAACACACGCAGGTTACCTGGCAAGCATTAGCTGGAATTATAATATTGTATAAGTCTGTAATATTTCTAAATCCAGCCAGGCATGTGTGTGTGTGCGTGTGTGTGTGTGTGTGTGTGAGGGGACTCCCAGCCTAAAACTTTCTAAGCTGTTTGTATGCTTCCCTCATATACGTCACCATGGCAATCCTAATCCTAATCAGCATCAGCATCAGCATCACGAGCAATCCCCTCCTGATACGAACATCGTCATGCTTTTCCTGCTAACAAGAGGCACTTCTCTTAATGACTGTGATGTCTGGCGTCGCTGACGCGGACCACAAGGGAGGTGGTTGAACTAGAAACAGCTGACAGAGTCTGATGTTCTGAGAACGAGTGTAACTTTGCCGGTTAAGTCGACACCCCTTTGGGAATGGGAATCTTAAAAAAGGGGGGGGGGGGGGGGTTACTCGTTAAGCTGTGGCCTCTCACGAAAGCAGCAGCCAAGAAACCAAAGCCAGATGACGCCCCTACCTCCAAACGCACGCCGACAGAGAGCGAGTGATGCAACAAAATCCTTCAATCTTAGTGCATCTTAAAGAAAATCCCAGGGCTGGGCCCCCACACTGTTTTCCTTGAAACGCTATTCTTCACATCTTTTTGTTTCATTACAACTGCTTGTTTTGCAGCGGTGGTCGAAGTATATAACAAGCTCTCTCTCTCTCAGAGAGCTGCTTTGTTCCTGCAGGAAAGGGCCCGGGCATGATAACATCTGTTGGCTAGCCGCAGGTTTTGTTTGGGTCAAATCGTGACGTGCACGGCTGAAACAGCAGCACTCCAACCCAACAACCCACAGACTGAGTAATGAGTAATGCTAGACTGAGTAATGACATTTCCTCATTTCTTTGTATTTTGCCACCGAATCAGCGTTTGAACGTCAGGCAAATTAGAAGGAAAATATGATCTGTTTTTGTGTACTACATAGTTAAGAGGTCCTTGAACGAGTATTAGGGATGCAGCTATTATTAATTTGTTCATTGTGGATGAATCCGTCAATTATGCTTCAGATTAATTAAATGGTGTAACATAGTGAAAAATGTCAATCAATGGGACATTTGAGTCCATGAGGACATGTTCAGATTGCAGGTTACATCCAGCCAGCAGTCCAGAACCAAAGATGCTCACTTTACAAAAAGATAAAACACAGAAATGAAGCAAATCTTAACATCTTAACATGTAACATCTTAACGCTTAATCGTTTCAATACGACGGCATCTTCACGAAGTATAATTATGGACACACACATTGCACTCTGATATTTGATCAAACTGCGCTACCAGTCATTCAAAAACAGCCAGACACCTCACTACACAGACCTCAAGCAGCAATGGAGCTGTGATTTACTTGCTTTTCATTTTTCACGTAACTAACAACGGCCATCACCGTCTGCGGCCGCCCCAGCTCTCTTAGCTCCAGCGTTAGCTTGTAACATTTCTACTTTTGATTGATGCCGGGCTCATACAAGCACCTGCAGCTATCCCCCGCCTCCGATACGTCTGGCTGCCACGCTGTATTCTTATTGATCTGTCCATCTTCTTGCCTCTGTCCCAGAGATGAACACAAGATTGAATGCCCGATGGTGCAGCTGCCATGTGAACAGCGGCAGGCCGCGATGAATACAATTGAAATGAAATGGATATTTAAAATGAATGTGATGTCAGAGCGGCCTCCACCTCCGGGTTTTCCAGGACTGCTGCGCTTGTGTGCGTTTTATGTGTACTCCAGTGAGTAAGTTGTGTAACTATGGAGCGATATATAGCCGCTGCTGTTGAAGCCGGTGGCATGACTGTACATAGCACAGTATTCCTCTCTTATCGCTCTTTATTAATTTACAGTCACAATTAATGAAAGACTCAGGGGGCACAAAAGTAAATAGGTCCAATGTTATAGTTCACAGTGGAAAAAAACAATTAGATCACGCTAAATGAAAACAGTAATTAATTGCCAATCCAAAACAACGCAAAGGCACAAATGAGACATATTATGATCATATTATTATTTTAAAATGCTAAAAGCAGCCTATCCCCAACTAGATAAACAGACAAGTAATGCACCAATGTTGACTCATTATATATGTCTGGGTGAGAAAAGAGAAAATCTGATATGGTAAATTATTTTAATGATGCCAATAGAACATAACAGTGTTAGCCTATTGCTGTCTGCCAATGTGAAAGGCAGTTTTTGGCTTTGGGACGCTGTAATGAGTAATGACAACACTCTCGCTAGATATTGTCCATTCTGCACCGCATCAAGGTGTGTGTATGTGTCTGTTGGAAAATACATGAGGTGTTCCTGCATAACACATAAAAGGATGAACTGTAAATAAGAGGCAGAATAACACAATAAGAACTCCGAGAGCAGCAACGTGTGAAAAAGATATTGGATGGTGGAGAGCGCAGCACAGCTTGGGCACGAAGAGTCTCAGCATTGCCAGCAGCGACTGACTCAGCGTGTGCGCTCAGACAAACACACACTAACAGAAAGATGTCCTGCAAAATAGGTGTGAAATAATGAACTGATCATTTAGCAATTCAAAAGAGGGGCTAATTGAAATTCCTCCAACGGAGGGGAGGGAAGGTGAAACAAGCGGAGTCACTGTGAGGAAAAGCAAAACGTGCGTGGCACCCTCGATGCCGGTTAAACGGAGAGCCTCAAACGTATCAGCGAGAACATGTCTGTCATGCCTCGAGCAACTCCATAATCAATTTAACACCGCACTGCCTCATGGGAAAGCTGGAGTACAGACACATTCCAGTTAATTCTCACTATCACAGCTCTTATTCACACATTACAGACCCGACTTTAATATGAACTGAAACTAGTGAAAAGAGCGTAATAAGTCAGAAGGCGAGTGTCACAGGGCCCCATATTCAGCATAAGATTATATTCTAGTCACAGATTGTGTGATCCGTTCAGACGTGACAGTCACACCGCACACAGCTGTTTCACTGACTGGAGGACTGACAGCGGAGCACACTCATCCAAAGTTCATCAGGGGATACAACGTACAACCTTTTTTAATTATTAATTAGAAAAAAGGATTACTTTGTGTTTTAAAGCTGCAGTATTGACGGGAGGATTATGAGTTTCGAGACACAGCAGGAAGCAGTTTGTGATAAAGGTCTGATAGACCATGTGGCAAGAAACACACAACTCCAAATCCGGTTGTGTAAAAATGTAATTATCTGCCAACATGTTTGCCATATCAACTCATTATGTGACAATAACCCAATGATGTGATTACAGCGTGATCAGTTGCCTCAGACTGGCTAAAAGAAATGAATACAATGGATACAGCTTTAATGAACAAAACATTTGCTCTAAAAATGTAAATATCATTAGCAAATACCTAACGCTGTGATGCCTGATCAGCAGCCAAAATAAGTATAGTAATAATATTTTTCAATGGTTTTAAACAAAGACAAGCTAGCAGCTAAGCCGACATTTTTCAATTTGTCTTTTAGGCAAACATGATTTCATCAAAGTGAAGAAAGAAATCTCTTTCATTGTGAAAATAAAAACATGTTTTCGTCAATTATTACTCTGGTATTAAATTACACTGAAACTGGAGGATATGAAACACAGCATGCTGTGTGCTCCCCCCAATCTGCCACCGACCCCCCACAGAACAGCCTGGCTTCTGAGGGAGGATGCCGTGGAAGAAACAGTGTGAAGAAGAGAGGAGTGTTAGACTGTGTGGTCCTATCAGGGGGAGTGAGTGAAGAGTACCCTTAATATGGCTGAGTACATCAGCATAACCCTGCACAGCAGGCTGGCAGAGATTGATGCTGCAGGTGAGAAGTGGCTCTGTACACACTGACACACTGACACACACACCACTGGTGGTCCTCTGGGACAACAATGAGCGATGACTTTGTCTCCTCAAAACTGACAGCAAGTCTCTGCTGTCTACAAAAAGCCCATTTCAAAAGCTCTGCCTCAGTCCCAACAAAGTAACTTGGAGTGATAGAAAGTAATCTGAAGTTTGGCTGAGATTGAGCCAGCAGCGTTAGTTAATCAATAACAATGTGCGGTGGGAGAATACCTCCAAGAAATGACATAACGATGCCTCGCGTCTTGTTACCTCATTTCAAACTGTGGTATGTCTGAGGTAGACCCAAGAACAAGAGGTGTGTGTGTGTGTGTGTGAGTGTGTGTGTGTGTGTGTGTGTGTGTGTGTGTGTGTGTGTGTGGGAGGGGGGGTACAAGAGTGAAACATGATGTCCTTTAACACCATGCTTAGGAAAAAGCAAAATGAATACTTATTTAAACTATTCATTATCCACTGACTATACACACCCTCCAATATTGAGGAGAGAGGGAGGCAATGCTTCAATCCCTGTTTTCTAAATATAGCCTCGTCTCTCCTCTCCCCCTGGTCTCTGAGGCGCTGGATTCACTTAATTGGATTACTACACACAAACCTTTCATTTCCTTTCTGGTTAGCGTTTAATGCCGTTACATCTCGGTTCATTCGTTGCGATGCTGAAGGCGACACCCTGCACATTTAAATGTGTGCCAATTATTACATCACTCCTGAGAGGCATTCACCATTATGTATGCAGACTGGAATGGCAGTGATCGATAAAAGATGCTGACTGTAACAATAACCCCATAATGCAGCATGGCCTGCTGAGAGAGAGAGAGGGAGAGGGAGAGAGAGAGGGAGAGAGAGATAGAGAGAGAGACAGAGAGAGAGATAGAGAGATAGAGAGAGAGATAGAGAGATAGAGAGAGAGATAGAGAGAGGCATGTGCTCAAAAAACCACAACAAATACACTTATCTGTTCATGTCTGGGTGAGTGCACATTTGACGACATAAATGTATTTTTTTTTTCTGTGACTCAGTACCCAGATCCATATCTTTGTGCAATCATTATAAGCTCTATTCTCTCAATGCTCCGCTGACTGTACAACACAGGTCTGGCACAGAAAGAAGGCCACTGGTCCATTATCAGGGTACAATGAATAATACAGATCCTGGAAACCGTGGACTCGCACACACTACCACACGCTACGATGGTGCAGAGAGGAAGAGAAGAAGAAATCCCTGCCTGAGGTTTAAATGGAGTCTGACAGGCCTGTCTCCTATTTTCAGAGCCTAATGCCCAACTCTGACAAGCATGGCAGCCCTGAATGGTTGTTGCAACGCTGTCACTAGGTTTACTACATACATCCAATTTGCCGACACGATACATTCCAGCAGACTGTGAATTACATCTTGGTCAGATTTCTCTCTAATTAATAAAGAAGATACAGCAACAAGGGGCGGCTGCATGGAAGCCAAAGCGTGTTATAAGTAACGTGATTTCTCTCTTTACTGCTCCGATGACATGTGTGATATGTATTTACTATTATTTACCGTGTGAATTTCAACGATAGCAGCAGGAGAGTAAATGCAGCGTGAGGAAGATGCATATTGATTAAAACAATGACCGATTGCAAGCTCACTCACCTAAACTTTCCACTATATGGTCACCTCCACCTGTGTCCGAGTTTATGTTTATACAGCTTGACTGCGTGTGCATGATAATCCCTTCCAGTGTGTGTGTGTGTGTGTGTGTGTGTGTGTGTGTGAAGAGGAAAGAAAGGAACAAGGATGTTTAGCTGTCTTTCAATATGTTCATGGATTACCAATATTTGATTGACAGGCCAGCCCTCTTTTGTGTATTGCATTGTGTATGTGTGTGTGTGTGTGTGTGTGTGTACATGAGTAAGTCTGAGTCGCTGGGTGGACATGCTTTTGTGTGTTTTCGTGTGTGCTTTGGCGTTAGCGTAGAGTTCATCTGTTTGTCCGCATCTATTCTTCTGTGCTCCATTTACTCCCCCTCTCTTTCTCCGTCTCTACTGAAAAAGGTCAGTGAGTCCTCCGTCTATTTAAGTCAAACATCTATGCAATGTACCGTGTGATGTTGAATTCAACACTAAAACCTACTAAATTGCATTTTTGGGCACATCTCCTCATCCTCTGCGATACGAGCAGCTGTATCAGTTGGCCGCTATTGATGAGAACAAGTTGTGCCACATACTGTAGATTGCTTCCAATCTAGCGCTCATCTTTCCACGTCCACCAGCGTAAAGGGAGAGAAACAACAGAGGAAAGGCTGAAATACGCTGCATGTCTGTGCCTAGCTTTGAAACAAAGCACAGAGAACACCCAGGGGCCCAGGGCTGTTTACAACTGAAAATAATACAAAAAATGTGGTTAAGAATGTGGTTAAGTGTAGCATTTGTGTGCAAGTGTACTGTCACACCAGGGAAGACTAATGCCAAATAAAAACTGGTCAAAAACATGTCTGACAGACAGCAATGTAACTCCGCTGGCTACCATTTGTCGAATGGGTTTATTTGTTTTTTTATCAGCACGAAGAACTCAAACTACTGGAAAAATGTTGAGCTATGAGCATTGTTCATATCCCAGCGGCCCACTATGATGACATCACTGACTCCTCTGTGTCCCTCCCAGTTTATAATGTAGCTGTGAGACAACTATTCCCATGAGGTACCCAGCCTTAGTATGACTAATCAATACAGCAAGTTGTTGTTGTTTTTCCAGCTAGTTTTGCTCTTGAAAAGCAGTCTCCATCTCAACGTTGTGTGATTGCTATTTCGGACTAACCGTCCACTTGATCAACTTGAGCATTTAGTGTGGGAGAAAATGACAGGAAATGGCCCATTTAACAATAAATTCCCCTGAATACATCTGACCTCAGCTGGGATACAAACTGCAGTGGGCTGGGCTCGGACAGCCTTCAGGGAGCTGTAGCCATACCACAAAAATAACACACTCGCCCACAAATACACACTCCTTTATGTAGATAGTAAAGCAACAAAAGAAGAAGAAAAACACACACACAAAGTAACAAGTTCACATGTATCTTTAAACCATCACCACTTCATATACTCACCATATCCAGGAGTGCCTTCTGAAAGGATAATGGCTGAGGTGCATCATGGACCTGTCACTGGGAACACCTGGACATTTTCCAGGCTTCATAGCGAAGCTTTGTCAGGGCTGATCCCCCGACCTGTTCACCTTTGACCCTTTGAGCCCTTCTGTCTATCTAGCTATCTATCTACAGACACTGCCCCGCAGTATCCAGAGGCCACAGCACAATATGTAGCGTTCCATAGTGCAGTCCACTGCTGTGATGCTCCCATTCGGACCAGTCTTCCGGTAAAGATCCCCTCGTGAACTTCCAACCGTACTGGTTTTGTCCGAGTGTATCACTGTAAAAAAAAGCACTGGCTTCTGTCCAACAAGGCAACATTAAAAGTCAAACTACATTGCGCCATAAAATCCATTGAGTTCCAGAAGAGAAATAAAAATTCCAATAAATGTGACAATAAAAAAACTGTAATAAAAAACACAAACTGGGCGCAGCCCAGTGTGAACTCTGTCTGTCAGCGAGAGAGTCTCAGCAGTGGGAGCACACAGGCGGCCACCCAGCAGGACCAGCTCAGCTCTCCGGCCGTGGCTCTTTTTTTCCGTGGGATTCTTCCGGCAAAGGTTCGAAAATCACTGTCCCACATCCACATGGTGAATCGGTTCAGGGGCTCATTCCTCCGGAGAACGTTTCCTTCCCAGACAGCCAGCCACGCCAGCTGAAGGGGCAGCGCTAGTCACACCAGCATGACAGAGCATGTTACACACAGAGTCACTCACACACTCACAGTCGCCTTCATCCTCTCAGCTTTGCCCCCTTTGTCTCTCTCACTTTGTGTCTCCCGCTCTTGTTCTGCCCTTTCGCAACCTCCCGGGAAGGGAAGAGAGGAAATGGGGAGAGAGTAAAACAGTGAAGTGCCTCTTTGGTATCTCCTCTTCTCTCTGCCTCGCTCTTTGCTAGTCTCCCTCCCTCCCTCCTTGCTCCAGTAAGTGGGATGTCCTGACCCTGTGTAAGAGGTGTGTCTGCTCCCTCAGTATCCAGTCTGCTAAACCTATTGATCCTCTTACCACATGCTGCTCCACTTCATTCAGAGGGGAACAGGTCTGCACATGTACAAGTCGCATGGCCACAAGAGCGCAAATATTCACAGAAGTAATTCCCCTCATTTCCTCCCCTAAATCCAGTCTTCCGCTCTGCTTTTCTTTTCTATAGTAACGCGACCTTGCCCCTATAATAGCCGTCATCATAACAATGCAAACCCTGCTGTTGCCCTGTCAGTTTGTTTTAGTTTTGTTTTTGCTGCCCTAAGCAAATCCCTTCTGTCTCCAGTGTCTGCATGCATGCCACTGAACGATGAGATTTTAAACCACACAAATGACAACTTATTTTTCTCTGCATGCGTGTGTGTGTGAGACATATAGTGTGTGTTGTATAGTGCTAACTGTGAAGACATGCAGCGAGCCTCTCAAGGCATGTTTGTTTCATGAAACTTGTTATACAGGATGTCTCGTTTGGCCTTAATGCAGTATGATGCATTCCTCGGCTCTTACACTGGCAACCTCGGGCCCCATATGGTCTTTTATATCTGTCATAAAGATAAGGAGATAAATCACAGCAACTCTACAAGTCATCACATTCACTGTTATTGAAAGTGATGTCTGGCTAAGCAACCGTCTGCGTTTGCATGCACGTGTAGGAGGAATTCACACATTTGTGTGCGTATGGTGCTGGCAAGGAAGTTATGAGTCGAGGTTGGGGTTAGCACACTAAGGTTGTGTCTGTCTGTGTGTGTGTGTGTGTGTGTGTTTTGCATTAAAGACCATAGCTGTGGCTGAGCTCCAGTTGCTGTGGTCTGAAAAACAGGATCCAGCACTGCCTCTTACACACATCCTGCCCAACACACACGTCAGCAGCCTCTCAACTCCTGCCAAAAGTCAAACCACCGCACAGCCTCTGCAAGCCTGCACCTTCAGCCTCAACAGCCGGTCTTGAAAAGGGTGGAGTGAAAATGAATGTTGAGGAATCTGCTTGCAGGAAAATCGAAACAGAAATGCAGTTCTCTGGTCCTCAATGTAATGGTTTAAGCAACAAAAGCAGCTAGAAAGCACTGAAGCACCCGTTTTACATTATGTACGTATACAGAAAAATATCTCTCCATCTGTCTCCCAGAATTATTCTTAAAACAATGGTATCACTTCAGACGTCTCGCGTACAAAAGTCAGCCCTCTAATGATAGAACATACACTGTATGCTCCTGTGCGTATGCGTGAGCATATATGGTATTACATAATCTCAGTCCCTGCTTTGGGGGCTGTTGGCCCCTGCTCTACTCACACTGATGAGCTGTCACGACTCATCCCGAAGAATGGAGGAGCGAGGCGAAAAATAAAGAGCGTAATGGCAGAATCAAATGAATATACAAAGCAGGAGAGGGGGAGAGAGCGACAGACAAGAACACAGATGCAGAGAGAAGGCGGGGTAGAGGGTTGCTAGCATGTTCTACAATATTTAAAACAAGAAGGACAATGGTGAGGCTTATCTCATCAATTCTCTAGACAGAGGTGAAAGTGCAGCGGCGACAGAACGAGGTAAGATTGATGACGAGTAAATTAAAGATCAAATGCAGCCATGCTGCAGGGACACAGAGACTGTGGAACAATGATATATTACAGCCATAAAAAAAAAAAACAGTGTTACACCATCATCACGTGTGTCCCCTGCTTGTAAGCACAACGATATATTTTCCGTTTGCGAAAAATCACATCATATTTGAATCAGCAGGCCTTTTCCATTACATTAGTGGTCCGACATTGCTCTC